TATGAAGCATTTCACCTTACATCTCTTGATGATTTGAACTACAACTCCCATCATCCATAACGCTGGCTGAAGATACATAATTTTTACATTTATTATTATTATTATTATTAGGAGAGAAAGTCGAGTAACAAGTAAATTTTTATTGTTATTATATTAATATTATTAGAAGGAGAGAAAATCAAGTAACAAGTAGCATTATTATGTTATATTTTTATTGTTATTAGGAGGAGATAAAGTGGAGTAAGAAGTAAATTGTTTATTGTTATAATATTTGCATTATTGTTATTAGGAGGAGAGAAAGTTGAGTAGTAAGTAAATTATTATTATAGTTATATTTTTATTATTAGGAGAGAAAATTGCATAACAAGTAAAATTTATTATGTTATTACCGCATATTTTTATTATTATTATTAGGAGAGAAAGTTAAGTAACAAATAAATTATTATTATTATTGTTATATTGTTATATTTTTATTGTTATTACTAGAGAAAATCAGTTTATTTATTAATTTCCTATATTTATAACCCATCCTTCTCCCCTGAAGTAAAATTTATTATTATTATTATTATTATTATTATTATTATTATTATTATATTTCTATTGTTATTGGGAGGAGAGAAAGTTGAGTAACAAGTAAATATTTTATTATTAGGAGGAATGAAAATTGGGTAACAAGTAAAATTTATTATGTTATTAAAATATTTTTATTATTATTAGAAAAAATAGAGTAACAAATAACATTTATTATTTTGTTACTAATATATTATTATTATTATTATTATTATTATTATTATTATTATTATTAGAGAGTCGTAACGAGTAAATATTTTATTGTTAGGAGGAGGAGGAAGAGAAAAAGGTAGTAAGTAAATAATAATAAATTGTATCCATTTTCCTTATAATAATGGTGTTACGTCGTGTAATTAAGGGGATTAAAATGAATCTTAGATAGTGTTGAGACCCTTTCCTTGCAGAACCCAGAAACCCAGATTCAATGTAGGTCACCTCCTTGCTGTGTGTCTGGTTGCCTCCTTTGGAGTGTGACTCATCCCTAGGCAAATAGGCCAGAGATGCTTTGGAAAGGGAAAGGATATTGTTCGATATTTATTTTTGTGTGCAGCTCAGCATCGTAGGGGGGCTTCCCATTCCTCCTTAAGGGACAGACTTGTGAAATAATCTCACATTTTCCAACATAGTATCTTCGACCAGGAGTGCTGGGTGGCGGGATCGCCGCCCACCTCCCTTTTTCATGTCCAGGCGTCCGATTTTGTTCATAATTCCCGACTTCTCCTTCCGTTCCAGCAACAAATCGCTCGGCCGTCCCAAGAAGAAAAAGTCGAAGAAAAGATAGAGGAGGAGAAGGCCGAGCGAACTGAGAAGAAGGAGGAGGAGAGGAGAGATGAAGAGGAGAAGGACGAAAAAGAAGAATCAAAGTGAGCAGTGGAGGCTAGACTTGTGTATTCGGGGCTCACCTTGATCTGTTTCGGGTTCGGCTTTCGGTGGGGGCCCCCGATCCGGTTTCCTTTGAACTTCCCAAAATTGGGAAGTGAAGTTTTTGTTTTCCTTGTAAGGAGGAGCCTTTCGTTTCAGGAGGAGCCTTTCCATTTCGTGCCATCCGAATGGGCGGTATGAAACAGAAACATGAATGAAACGAATGGGACAAATATCGGGCCCATGACTAATGGAGACCCCTTTTCCCCACGATAATATCTATTCCAGGAGTGGATTTCTCTTCCTTCTGAGGGATAGGTTCCTCTCATTTCGTGTTGGCTCTACCCCGTTCTTAACTAGGAATCGTTTTTTAAGTCAGATGTTTGTAACTGTAATTCATTGAAAGCTCACTCTTCTGATTTGTGACATAACAGGGGCGGTGGAATTGGCCATTGTTGACGAGTCTCGTTCGTTTCCATTAGGGAAACTCTCAAGGAGAAGGAGAAGGCCGAGTCAGTGCCCGAGGAGCCTGAGGAGCGGGAGCAGACTGCGCCCCGAGGCCGGAAGACCGCTAATAGCCAGGGACGTCGCAAGGGACGCATCACCAGGTCGATGACCAATGAGGCGGCTGCCGCCAACGCTGCCGCTGCTGCAGCCACTGAAGAACCACCGCCTCCGCTGCCCCCACCTCCGGAGCCATGTAAGTCAGCCCGTCCGCCTTGAGAGGGAATGTGCATGTCCGCACTGTGTGGCGATAGAGCCTTTGTCATGAATACTTTGTGAACCTTAGAAATGTTCTTTAACCTGTTTCTAGAGTGCATCAGGCACTTTCAGAGAAAGAAGTAAACACAGAGACTATACTGGTTACACAGACAAAGGGGGAAACATCACATTCACTCATTCAATGAAGAAGGACTTACCATCCTTCTTCATTCAGTCCATCATCACATATACTCTCACATTCATTCGAAATCCATTCATTCACTCATTCATACTCACTATCCTTCATTCACTTCATCATCACATATACTCTTAACTTCACTCCTAATTCGTTCATTCACTCATTCGTACTCACCATCCTTCTTCATTCAGTCCATCATCACATATAGTCTAACATTCACTCCTAATCCGTTCATTCACTCATTCGTACTCACCATCCTTCTTCATTTAGTCCATCATCACATATAGTCTAACATTCACTCCTAATCCATTCATTCACTCATTCGTACTCACCATCCTTCTTCATTCAGTCCATCATCACATATAGTCTAACATTCACTCCTAATCCATTCATTCACTCATTCATACTCACCATCCTTCATTCAGTTCATCAAATATACTGTAAGATTCACTCGTAATACATTCATTCACTCATTATTTATTTATTTGCATTATTTCTACTCTGCTCATATCAGCCCGGAGGCGACTCAGAGCAGCGTACACAATCGGCACAATTCGATGCCATCAAAATACATACATTGATAAGCAAAAGAACCATTATAGTGCAATTAGACATAAGACAGGGCATAAAAGCAATGTTAAAAGCTAAAAACTATATCCTCTCATTCAAGTCCTTATCCATTCCATCGTCTTGGGCCATTCCTGGGACATTTTCCAAATCAAGTTTGTCTATTTATTCGGAGGTTCCAAATGCCTGCTCGAAGAGCCAAGTTTTTACTCTTTTCCGAAAGGTCAGGAGCGAGGCAGCTGATCTAATGTCCCTAGGCAGGGAGTTCCACAGCTGAGGGGCCACCACAGAGAAGGCCCTGTCTCTCGTCCCTGCCAGACGTGCTTGCGAAGCAGGCGGAATCGAGATCAAGGCCTCCTCATTCATACTCACCATCCTTCTTCTTTCAGTTCATCATCACATATACTCTTACATTCATTTGTAATCCACTCATTCATACTCACCACCCTTCTTCATTCAGTCCATCATCACATAGATTCCAACATTCACTCCTAATCCATTCATTCACTCATTCATACTCATCATCCTTCATTCAGTTCATCATCACATAGATTCCAACATTCACTTCTAATCCATTCAACATCCTTCTTCATTCATTTCATCATCACATATACCTCACATTCACGCCTAATCCATTTATTCACTCATTAATACTCACCATTCTTCATTCTGTTCATCATCAGATATACTCAAACACTAATCCATACATTCACTCATTCATACTCACCATTCCTTCTTCATTCAGTGCATTTTGGAAGGTGGCCGGTGTTCAGGCCCTGCATTCTTTGCAGATCTGACCCACTTTTCGAAGAGAAAAGCGTCTCCTTATGTAGGACTTGTTGTGGTTGTTCTAAATTGATTAGCCACTTGCTATTCACCTAAAACTTGCTAAAACTCCCATGATTTCCGGACAGATGTTGTTTTCCCCTCCTTAAAGTCAGGAGCCATTGTTTTTGATTTCCTTAACTGAAAGAGTTACTGTCTTTGGCCATGTAAACATGCAGTTTTCATCAACAATTCCCAGGTCAGTTAGGTCAGCAGTTTAGCCGTTTTCCTTCATCAGCACTGTTCATCTCTCCTCCACAATATCATTTTGAGCTTCAGTCTTCTTAGGATAGTATCTTCAGTTTGGGTGTGCTGCAATGCTCCAGTGGGATTCCTTCCCAGGTCATCCTCAGAGTTCGAGATGCTTGTCTGTTCGTAAGATGAAAAGCACATGTCTGTGTTTTAGATGGATTAGGAATCAGCTGGTTTCCCCTGTAATAGGCAGGAAGAGCACCTAAAGCACCAGAGAGCTTTTGTTCAACCATTTCAAAGCTCCCAGCTTGAGCGGTGATGGCACGATCATCAGCATAGATGAAACTCTCTGTCCCTTCTGGCAGTGGCTGGGCATTGGTGTAAATGTTGAACATGAATGGAGCAAGCACGCTCCCCTGAGGCAGGCTGTTCTTCTGTTTCTGCCATTGGCTTCTCTGACTCTGGAACTCAACAAAAAAGCTCCTGTTTTGTACCAGATTTCCTATGAAGTGGGTGAAGTGGTCGTCCTTTGAGATATTATACACTTTTTCCTCAAGAGAAGGCAATGATTTACAGTATCATAAGCTGCTGACAGGTCTGTGAAGACGGCTCCTGTGATCTGCTGCCATCTTCTATGTGCTGAGTCAGGTTCAGCACTCGTGATGTGCCGCTTTTCCCTAATAATATAATATAATATAATAATAAATTATAATATAAGAACAATAAACAGTTATGAGCCCTGCTTAAGATATATATATATATATATATATATATATAGATATTAATAATAATAATAATAATAAGAATAATATTGCTATGAGTCGTTTAAGAGAAGCAAGTGGGATAATAATAATAATAATAATAATAATAATAATAATTGCTGAGTCTCAAGTGAAGAAAAGGGGCTATAATTTAATAATAATAGTAATAATAATAATAATAATAAATTGCTATGAGTTTTGTTTAAATGGGATAATAGCACAGCTGGTACATCACCAGCAATGATAAGGTGTACCAACTGAAAGGTTGCCAGTTCAAAACCCTGGGTTGGCATGAGCTCCCAACTTTTACCCCAGCTCACTGTTGACCTAAGCAGTTCGAAAACAGCTTGAGCTGTAAGTAGAGAAATTAGGTACCGCTAAAACAAGTGTGGGAAGTATTTTACAGCACGATAAAGAAAAAGATCAGAAAATTCCCCGCCGAGCAAAAGGAAGGAGGAAGTTCTGATGGCTCTTTGTCATAGAGGATGGAGCAACAGCATTTCCCTGTGGCTGGATTCAAGCACAACCTCCAAGGCGCCAAAAAGCTGGACGTTGACACAACATACCTCCTTTCTGTTCTGTCTGTCTCTGTCCTGACTGTCCAAAACGGCATTGGATGTTCGTTCGCTGTGTATGTGTACTGTGATCCGCTTGGGGAGATAGGGCAGAATATAAATAAAGTATTATTATTTATTGTTATTAATTATTATAAATAATAATAATAATTATTATTTCCCACCTGCTCATAGTGGGTTACAAGACAGTTAAAACATCCAGATAAAACACAATAAAGTATTATTATTTATTGTTATTATTAATTATTAATTATTATTATTATTATTATTTATTTCCTGCCTGCTCAAAGTGGGTTAGAAGACAGGTAAAACATCCAGATAAAACACAATAAAGTATTATTATTGTTATTAATTATTAATTATTATTATTACTTATTTCCTGCCTGCTCAAAGTGAGTTAAAAGACAGTTAAAACATCCAGATAAAACACAATAAAGTATTATTTATTGTTATTAATTATTATTATTATTATTATTATTATTATTTCCCACCTGCTCAAAGTGAGTTACAAGACAGTTAAAACATCCAGATAAAACACAATAAAGTATTATTATTATTATTATTATTATTAATTATTATTATTATTATTATTATTATTATTATTTCCCGCCTGCTCAAAGTGGGTTACAAGGCAGTTAAAACATCCAGATAAAACACAATAAAGTATTGTTATTAATTATTATTATTATTAATTATTATTATTATTATTATTATTATTATTATTTCCCGCCTGCTCAAAGTGAGTTACAAGGCAGTTAAAACATCCAGATAAAACACAATAAAGTATTGTTATTAATTATTAATTATTATTAATTATTATTATTATTATTATTAATTTCCCACCTGCTCAAAGTGGGTTACAAGGCAGTTAAAACATCCAGATAAAACACAATAAAGTATTATTATTATTATTATTATTATTATTATTATTATTATTATTATTATTTCCCACCTGCTCAAAGTGAGTTACAAGACAGTTAAAACATCCAGATAAAACACAATAGCATTAAAACACCTATATTATTAGAATATACAGTGTCGTCAACCTGTTTTCCCATCACCTTGATCCCACTTTAACTGTCATGGCTGCCTTTCATACTCTGCTAAGACTTCTCCATTTGTTGAGTGACCTGGATTTCTCTATTAGTACTAATATTATTATCACTATGATTATTATCTTTGTTTCTCTCCTGCCTTTGTCCCTATGGAGTTTCCTGGGAAACCAGAATCCTCCTAAGCATTGCAGAGCCGCAAAGAGAACCATAATAATAAGAATAGTTTTGTAAACAGTGTTTCGGTTTTGTCGGTGGCCTCGTTTCAGGCGGGGAAACAATAATAATAAAATAGGGCGCACAGAAAACAGGTCAAATTCTCAGCCGATGTTTCAGGTATTCAGTGATGGTTCACTCTATTATGATTTGTAACTCTATGATTTTTGTTCCTGGGTGATCAATGTCATTTCCTGATTGGTGCTGAAAACATGGGAAAAGTGTATTGAACTGCACAAACTTTGTCGGAGTGACATATAGCACATTTTTATTTATTTTCTAACTTGGCTCCCTGACGTTGCCCATGTTATTTGAAAAATTCAATTTTTTTATTGTCCAAAATGCATAAAGTTGTGGGTGAACTACAACTCACATCATGGCATGTTAACCTCGAGAAACTCCCATCAGAACTTAAAGTTTGTTACGTTGGGCAAGTTTGCTCTAGATACATCATGGGAGGGGTTTGGTAAACTACAACTCTCTGGCTGTAGGGTGAACTACAACTCCCACTATGGTGAGTCCCCTCAAAACCCTTCAGTAGGCTGAGTTCATCATGTGGGTTCTGTGTGCCAAGTGTGGTCCAGGCCCATCATTGGTGGAGGTCACAGTTTCTCTGGTTGTGGGAAAACTACAACTTCCAGAAAGAAAGGTCACTCCCTTCCGTCCCCCCTCAACCCCTCCAATCATCAAATTTATATCAGGTCTGTGTGCCAAGTGTGGTCCAGATCCATCAGTGTATGGGTTCACAAAGCTCTCTGGATGTAGGGTAAACTACAACTCCCATTATGGCGAGTCAGTCCCCTCAAAACCCTCCAGTAGGCTGAGTTCATCATGTGGGTTCTGTGTGCCAAGTGTGGTCCAGGTCCATCATTGGTGGAGATCACAGTTTCTCTGGTTGTGGGAGAACTACAACTCCCAGAAAGAAAGGTCACTCCCTCCCCCCCCCACCCCTCCAGTAATCAAATTTATATCAGGTCTGTGTGCCAAGTGTGGACCAGATCCATCGGTGCATGAGTTCATAGTGCTCACTGGCTTCAGGGTAAACTACAACTCCCACTATGGTGACTCAGTCCCTTCAAACCCCTCCAATAGGTTGAGTTAGTCCTGGGGGTTGTGCGTTCCAAGTTTGGTCCAGGTCCATTATTGGTGGTGGACACAGTGTCTCTAGTTGTGGGTGAACTACAACTCCCAGAAAGGAAAGTCAGTTTTCCCCAAACCCCGCCAGTAATCAAATTTCATCATATCAGGTCTGTGTGCCAAGTTTGGTCCAAATCTATTGATGTTTCCGTTCACTGTGCTCTCTGTATGTAGGTGAACTACAACTCCCATAAATCAAAGGGAATTTTCCACAGAGACCTCCAGTATTTGTTGCTGGTCATGGGGGCTCTGTGGGCCAAGTTTGGTCCAGATCTATTGATGTTTCCGTTCACTGTGCTCTCTGGATGTAGGTGAACTACAACTCCCATAAATCAAAGGGAATTTTCCCCAAAGACCTCCAGTATTTGTTGCTGGTCATGGGGGCTCTGTGGGCCAAGTTTGGTCCAATTCCATCTTTGGTGGAGTTCAGAGTGCTCATTGATTGCAGGTAAACTATACATCCCAGTACCCACAACTCCAAAATGTCCTGGCCATTTCCCCCTCAAAACCCACTAGTTTTCCAATTTGGACATATCAGGTATGCATACCAAGTTTGGTCCAGATCCATTTTTGTTTGGGTTCATAGTGCGCTCTGGATGTAGGTGAACTACAACTCCTCTAAATCCCTCCAAAGACTTCCAGCATGTTTTGTTGGTCTTGTGGGTTCTGTGTGCCAAGTTAGTTCCAGGTCCATCGTTGGTAGAGTTCAGAGTGCTCTTAGATTGCAGGTGAACTATACATCCCAGGACCTACAACTCCTGTAAATCATGAATTCTATCCAAACCTCTCTAGTATGTTTAGCTGCGGATCAATTCCTCTGCTTGCTGTGTGTCATAGAAAAGAATAGGAAAGGGTTCAGGGAGAGGCCTATGAGAGAGTCAGAAACACTGGGGTATCTGTGGTGGAGGAAACACATCAAATCTAGGATGGAATGGTCCCCCTAGGAAAGCCTTCACTTGGGTGGAGGGCAGTAGAGTGTTGGTGGAGGATTGCACAATTCAACTGGAGCTCCCACTTTGGATCCAGGAACAGAATGTTTTTTGCAAGTTTTGTTACCTGGTGTGATTGGCGTTTTCCCGCCCGTAATACGGAGTCTCTTTCTTGACGCACTCAAAGGCTGCGCGCTGTCTTCTTTCCGGGCGTCCTGAGCAGGCCTGGGCGTCAAGGGATTAATAGATTACTGGGAAAGCGAAGGCTCAAGCGCCAGCTGACAGCCGCCTCTCCTCTCCTCCCCTCCTCTTCTTCTTCTTTCTCTCTTTCTTTCTTTCCACCTTTCCAGCTTCTGCGGAGCCGGTCGAGACGTCGCGCTGGACGGAAGAAGAGATGGAAGTGGCAAAGAAAGGTAGGCGGGAAGGAAAGGAGGAGGGAGGGAGGGAGGGAGGAAAGGACATAGAAAGGGAAGGAAAGAAAGAAAGGAGGGAATAAGGAAGGAACGACTGAAAGGGGAAGGAAGGAAGGTAAGAGAGAAGGAGAGAGGGAAGAAGAAAGGAATGACTGAAAGGAGAAGGAAGGAAGGAAGGAAGAAGAGGGAGGGAAGAAGGAAGGAATGACTGACTGAAAGTTGAAGGAAGGAAGGTAAGGAAGAAGAGGGAAGAAGGAAGGAATGACTGAAAGGGGAAGGAAGGAAGTAAGAAAGTGAGGGAGGGAAGAGGGAAGGAATGACTGACTGAAAGGAGAAGGAAGGAAGGAAGGTAAGAAAGAAGGAGGGAGGAAAGAATGACTGAAAAGTGGAAGGGAGAAGGAGGGAGGGAATAAGGAAGGAAGGAATGACTGAAAAGGGAAGGAAGGAAGTAAGAAAGTGAGGGAGGGAAGGAAAGGATGATTGAAAGGAGAAGGAAGGAAAAGAAAGAAGAGGAGGAAGAGGGAAGGAATGAGTGAGAAAGGAGAAGGAAAGAAGGAAGAAGAGAAGGAGGAAGGAAGAAGAAAGGAATGATAGAAAAGGGAAGGAAAGAAGGTAAGAGAGAAGGAGGGAGGGAAGAAGGAAGGAATGATTGAAAAGGGAGGGAACGTAAGAAGGAATGAATGACTGAAAGTGGAAGGAAGGAAGATAAGAGAGAAAGAGGGAGGGAAGAAAGAAGGAATGACTGAAGGGGGAAGGAAGGTAATGAAGAAGAAGAAAGAAGGAATGACTGAAAGGGGATGGAAGGAAGGAAGGATGGTAAGAGAGAAGGAGGGAGGGAAGAAGAAAGGAATGACTAAAAGGCAAAGGAGGGAAGGAAGGTAAGAGAGAAGGAAGAAGGAAGGAATGATTGAAAGGAGAAGGAAGTAAGAAAGAAGAGAGAGGGAAGAAGGAAGGAATGATTGAAAGGAGAAGGAAGTAAGAAAGAAGAGAGAGGGAAGAAGGAAGGAATGATTGAAAGGAGAAGGAAGTAAGAAAGAAGAGAGAGGGAAGAAGGAAGGAATGATTGAAAGGAGAAGGAAGTAAGAAAGAAGAGAGAGGGAAGAAGGAAGGAATGATTGAAAGGAGAAGGAAGTAAGAAAGAAGAGCGGGAGGAAGGAAGGAATGACTAAAAGGGGAAGGAAGGAAGGTAAGAGAGAAGGAGGGAGGGAAGAAGGAAGGAGTGAAGAGGGAAGAAAGGCCAAGAAGGAAGGAATGATTGAAAGGAGAAGGAAGTAAGAAAGAAGAGAGAGGGAAGAAGGAAGGAATGATTGAAAGGAGAAGGAAGTAAGAAAGAAGAGCGGGAGGAAGGAAGGAATGACTAAAAGGGGAAGGAAGGAAGGTAAGAGAGAAGGAGGGAGGGAAGAAGGAAGGAGTGAAGAGGGAAGAAAGGCCAGAGAGGGGTAAGAAGAAAGGAAGGAAGTTGGGGAAAAGAGCAGAGGGAGGAAGGAGGGAAGGAAGCAAAGAAAGGGAAGGAGGGAGGGAGGCCAAAGAGGGGTAAAAAGGAAGGAAGCAGGGGAAAAGGACAGAGGGAGGAAGGAGGGAAAGAAGGAAGAGAAAAAGGAAGGAGAGAGAGCGGGGGAAGAAATGAAAAGAAAGTACAGAGAGAGAAGGAAGGGATTAAGGAAGGAAGCAGGAAGATAGGACAGAGGGAGGAGAGAAGAATGAAAAGAAGGACAAAAAGAGGTAGGAAGTGGGAAGAAAGGGCACAGAGAAGGAAGGAAGGACAGAGGAAAGGGAGTAAGGGAAGGACAGAGAGGAAGGAAGGAAAATGAGAAGAGGGAGGGAGGGAGAGAAGGAAGGATAGAGGGTGGAAGAAAGGAGGGTTGAAGAAAGGGGAAGAGATGGACAGAGAGGAAGGAAGAGAAAGAAAGGAAGGGAGGAGGAAGAAGGAAGGACAGAGGAGAGACGGACAGAGAAAGAAGGGAGAGAAGGGAAGGAAAGACAGATAGAGAGGGGGAGGAATGGAAGGGAGGAAGGAAGGGAGGAAAGGGTAATTGACGTGCCTAAGAAATGCAATTATTATAATTGTTGTTGTTGTTGTTGTTGTTGTTGTTGTTCCTGTTCCTTGAGTGATGGAAGGAATGGCCTGGGGCCTCACTCCCATGTCGCTCAGAGCGGAGATAAATATTTCAGAGGGAGTGGAGCGCTAGTTAATGATTTGGTGCCGTGTTTGTTCAGCTTGACCTTCCTTCGCTCTGCGGGAGGGCCGGGCTCTCGTCTGTAGCGCCAAAACACAAGGTTTCCTCGTTTTTCACAAGTCAGCTGCAACTCCAAGTCCCATCGTCCTCAGACAAACGGCGGCCGACGGGAGCCCTCAAAACGATCCCTTCCCCAACTTAACAATGGGCTTGAGACCCGATGTAGTTTGCTGGTCCCTGATGGGAGTTGTAGTTCCATATCACCAGGGCTGGGTGATATGGGAGTTGTAGTTCCATATCACCAGGGCTGAGTCCCCTGATTTTTTTCTGGCATTTCCTTATGGGTGCCTTTAAATACCTCCCCGCTTAAAGCGGTACCTATTTATCTACTCATAGTTGCTGTTTTTGATCTGCTAGGTACTCAGGAGCTGGGCGAAAGGTCAGGAGCTCACCCCTACCCGGGCTTCGAAGTGTCAACCTTTTGGTTGGCAAGATTTTACTGCAGCTGGTGATTATCCTGCTGTGCTAAAGCCTGGCCCTATTATAAGGCTGATAATAGTAATAGTAATAATAATGATGATAGTGAAAGTAGTAATAATAATGTTGATAATAAAAGTAATAATAATAATGTTGATAATAATAGTAGAAGTAGCAGTAGTAGTAGTAATGTTGATAGCAAGAATAGCAATAATAATAATAATGTTGAAAATAGTAGTAATAATAATGTTGATAATAGTAGTAATAATAAGGTTGATAATAATAATGTCAATAAGAATGATAATGTTGATAATAATAGTAATAATAAATAGCAGCAGTAGCAATAGTAGTAATATTGATAATAGTAATAATGTTAATAATAATGATGTTTATAATGATAGTAATAATAATAATGTTGATAATAGTAATAAAAATGTTGATAAGAGTAGTAATAATATCAATAAGAATGATAATCTTGATAATAATAGTAATAATAAATAGCTGTAGCAATAATAGTAATAATATTGATAATAGAAATAATGTTAATAATAATGATGTTGATAATAATAGTAATAATAAATAGTAGCAGTAGCAAGAGTAGTAATAGAATGTTGATAGTAATAATAATAATAATGTTGATAATAGTAATAATGATGTTGATAATAAGAGTAGTAATAATAATGTCAATAAGAATAATGTTGATAATAATAATAGTAATAATAAATAGTAGCAGTAGCAAGAGTAGTAATAATAATGTAGATAGTAATAATAATAATAATAATAATAATAATGTTGACAATAGTAATAAATATGTTGATAAGAGTAGTAATAAGAATGTCCATAAGAATAATGTTGATAATAATAGTAATAATAAATAGTAGCAGTAGCAAGAGTAGTAATAATAATGTTGATAGTAATAATGTTGATAATAGTAAAAATATTGATAATAATAGTAATAATAAATAGTAGCAGTTGCAATAGTAGTAATAACAATGTTGATAGTAATAATAGTAATAATTATAATGTTGATAATAGTAATAATGTTGATAATAATAGTAATAATAGTATTGATAATAATAGTGATAAAAATAAGTAGTAATAATGTTGATAATCGTAATAGTGGTAATAGTAATAATGTTGATAATAGTAGTAATAATAATGTTGATAATAGTAATAATGATGTTGATAACAATAATAATAGTAATAATGATAATAATGTGGCAATAATATAGTAATAAAAATAAGAGTAGTAATAATGTTGATAATCGTAATAGTGTTATAGTAATAATGTTGATAATAGTAGTAATAATAGTTGATAATAATAGTAATAGTCATAATAATGTGGCAATAATACTAGTAAAAATAAGAGTAGTAATAATGCTGATAATAGCAATAGTGGTTTTAAACAGTGTATTTTAATATTGAGATAAATGTAATAAATAGCAGTAACAGTGGTAATAATAATGGTGAGCATAATGATAGCAAGAATAACATTGATAATAGTAGTAATAACTTTAATCATAATAGTAGTAGTAATAATAATAATAACGTTGAAAGTACTACTATTAATAATATTTATTTATTATTATTATTTATTTACAGTATTTATATTCCGCCCTTCTCACCCCACAGAGGACTCAGGGTGGATTACAATGCACATATACATGGCAAACATTCAATGTCATTAGACATACAACATATATTAGGGAAACACAGAGGCAATTTAACATTCCAGCTTTCCGGCTTCATGAGGGTATGCTCGATTCTGGCCGCAGGGGGAGCTGCCACTTCCCCCTGTGGCCAGAATCGAGCATACCCTCATGAAGCCGGAAAGCTGGAATGTTAAATTGCCTCTGTATGTTAAATTTCCTACTTGACAGATGCAACTGCCTTCCAGCTGCATAGGTCAGCAGGAAGCTAGACTATGAATGGTTGGGAGCTTCCTCTGACCCAAGCTGGCTTTGAACTCCCTTCCTCTGGGCCTTTTCTCTCCTGCTCCTCCTCCTCCTCCGTCTCTCCACGTTCCACCGGGTTTAATGCCAACCCGGGAGGTGAGCAGCTTTGCGGCCCCAAAGCAGAATTAGGTGATGTCAAGCGGGGAGACGGCATGATCCCGCAGATAAGCAGGCGCTGCAGGGTCAGCCAGAGACACACACTCACACACACACACACACACACACACACACGGCCTCGGAATGGACTTCCTTTTATTCTTAGCAGCGCTGACACCGGCTGACCTCCGAAAGAGAGAGAGAGAAAGGAAAGCAGGCTAAGCCCCGTCTGGGAGGCCGGCTTCCAAGGAGAAGGGTCACATTAATAATAGTAATAATAAACCCATTTTCCGAGTTTCCAACAGACCTCCCAAGCTCTGAGGATGCCTGCCATAGATGCAGGCGAAACATCAGGAGAGAATGCTTCTGGAACATGGCCACACAGCCCAGAAAACTCACAGCAGCCCAGCAATTCCAGCCACGAAAGACTTCAACAACACATAATAAAACTTTATTTACGACCTGCCCTCTCTCCCTGAGGGAACTCATTAATTAATAATAATAATAATAATAATAATAATAATAATAAATTTTATTATTAACTTTATTATTATTAACTATTATTATCTGATATTAACTTTTGCATTATTATTAACTATTATTATCACCTTTATTATTATTAACTATTATTAACTTTATTATTAACTATTACTAACTTTAGTAGTAGTATTATTAACATTATTATAAACTATTATTATTACCTTTATTATTATTAACTTTATTATTACTCACTATTATTATTAACTTTATTATTACTAACTATTATTACTAACTATTATTATTAACTTTATTATTATTAACTTTATTAACTATTATTATTAACTATATTATTATTAACTATTATTAACTTTATTAACTATTATTAACTTTATTATTATTAACTGATATTATGAACTTTTGTATTATTAACTATTATTAACTTTAGTAGTATTATTAACATTAACTATAATTATGAACTATTATTATTACCTTTTTATTATTAACTTATTAATTTTATATTATTTTACTGACACAAAAACACAGTATGTCACAGCAAATGAGATCTATATGCTGGATTTCGTATCACAAAATCACAAGTTGAACACTTCCCATAATAACTTTGTTATTGTAATTTATTACTTATAATAACGTTACTATTTATTATAATAACGTTACTATTTATTATAATAACTTTACTATTAACATTATTAACTATTATTATTAATATTTTATTGTTATTACTATTAACTATCTCTATGATTACTACTATTCTTAACTTCCTTTCTAGGCCGCCTTTCTCCCCATTAGTTGAAAAACATGGAACAGAGATTAAAAACATCAATACTAATCAATTATGAATTGGAAATGGCGTGGGCAAGGCCTTCACATTGGCTGAGGTCAGGACCCCCCATTTTGGGGAGGAGGTGACAGGGTGATGTCCTGGAGTTGGAAACAAATGCTTAGGTGAAAAAACACTATGTTGTAACTACTTGTAACTAGTTACTAGTTACCCAAGGAAGAGCCTCTCACGGCCAGATTTTTGTGGTTCCTGTGTCATAACTACTCGTAACTAGTTTCTTATAACTCCCAACGGGGAGCCTCTCATGGCCCAATTTCTGTTGTTCCTATGTTGTAACTAACTAGTTTTTTTTATAACTCCCAAGGGGGAGCCTCTCATGGCCCAATTTCTATTGTTCTTGTGTTGTAACTCCTTGTAACTAGTTATCCAAGGGGAGCCTCTCATGGCCTGATTTTTGTTCCTGTGTTATAACTACTTATAACTTGTTATGTATAACTTCCAAGGGGGAGCCTCTCACGGCCAGATTTTTGTGGTTCCTGTGTTATAACTACTCGTAACTAGTTTCTTATAACTCCCAACGGGGAGACTCTCACTGCCCAGTTTCTGTTGTTCCTGTGTTGTAACTCCTTGTAATTAGTTATCCAAGGGGAGCCTCTCACGGCCTGATTTCTGTTCCTGTGTTATAACTACTTATAACTCATTAATTAGTTATCCAAAGGGGACTCTCTCACGGCCTGATTTCTGTTGTTCCTATGTTGAAACTACTTGTAACTAGTTACCCAAGGGGAGCCTCTCACGGCCTGAAAAGTGGCTGCGGTGGCCGGGAGGGTCTTTGCACAACTCAAAACTTGTGCGCCAGCTGCAACCGTACCTCGTGAAGTCTGACTTGGCCAGCATGGTCTATGCCTTGGTTACATCCAGACTGAACTACTGCAATTCACTCTACGTGGGGCTGCCCTTGAAGACGGCCCGGAAATTTCAACTGGTACAATGGGCAGCAGCTAGGCTCCTTACTGGAGTGAACTATAGGGAGCATATATCCAGACTGGACTACTGCAATGTGCTCTACGTGGGGCTGCCCTTGAAGACGGCCCAAGAGTTTCAATTGCTACAACGGGCAGCAGCCAGGCTCCTTACTGGAGCAAACTATACATCCAGACTGGACTACTGCAATGCGCTCTATGTGGGGCTGCCCTTGAAGATGGCCCAGAAGTTTCAACTGCTACAATGGGCAGCAGCCAGGCTCCTTACTGGAGCAAACTATAGGGAGCATGCATCCAGACTGGACTACTGCAATGTGCTCTACGTGGGGCTGTCCTTGAAGACGGCCCGGAAGTCTCAACTGGTACAACAGGCAGCAGCCAAGCTCCTTACTGGAGCAAACTATAGGGAGCATACATCCAGACTGGACTACTGCAATGCACTCTACGTGGGGCTGCCCTTGAAGACTGCCCGGAAGTTTCAACTGGTACAACGGGCAGCAGCCAAGCTCCTTATTGGAGCAAACTATAGGGAGCATACATCCAGACTGGACTACTGCAATGCGCTCTACGCGGGGCTGCCCTTGAAGACGGCCCAGAAGTTTCAACTGGTACAACGGGCAGCAGCCAGGCTCCTTACTGGAGCATACATCCAGACTGGACTACTGTAATGCGCTCTATGTGGGGCTGCCCTTGAAGACAGCCCGGAAGTTTCAACTGGTACAACGGGCAGCAGCCAGGCTCCTTATTGGAGCAAACTATAGGGAGCATACATCCAGACTGGACTTCTATGAACCAGCGCAAACTCTAAGATCTTCCGGGGAGGACCTCCTTTCGCTCCCACCATGGTCACAAGTACGCTTGGTGGGGACGAGAGAGAGAGCCTTCTCAGTGGTGGCTCCCCACCTCTGGAACACCCTTCCAAGGGAAATAAGGCCCCATCCCACCCCTCCTTTTGCAAGGCAGGATTGTTTTTAATATACAGGTATTATTGTGATAATTTTATGCTTTTGTTGTTTTGTTAATTTTATGTTATGCTGTTTACTTTGTATGTTTTGGTGATGTTACTTGGAAACCGCCCCGAGTCCCCCTCGGGGGGATAGAGCAGTTTATAAATAAAGTTTTATTTATTTATTTATTTATTTATTTCTGTTCCTGTGTTATAACTACTTATAACTAGTTACTTATAACTCCCAAGGGAGACACTCTCACGGCCCGATTTCTGTTGTTCCTGTGTTGAAACTACTTGCAACTAGTTACCCAAGGGGAGCCTCTCATGGCCCGATTCCTGTTGATCTGTGTTGTAACTACTTATACTTTATAATTCCCAAAGGAGACCCTCTCACAGCCTGATTTCTGTTGTTCCTGTGTAGCAAGTTGTAACTAGTTACTTGTAACTAAATACTTGCAACTTACCCAAGGGGAAGACTTTCATGGACAGAGGCCTGTTATTCCTGTGTTGTAACTACTTGTAACAAGTTACTTGTAACAAGTTACTTTTCTTTAGTTACCCAAAGGGGAGCTTCTGTTGTTTTTTTTCCCCTCCGTCCAGGCTTAGTGGAGCACGGACGCAACTGGGCGGCCATTGCCAAGATGGTGGGCACCAAGAGCGAGGCCCAGTGCAAGAACTTCTACTTCAACTACAAGCGGCGGCACAACCTAGACAGCCTCCTCCAGCAGTACAAGCAGAAGGTGAGGCCGAAAATATAATTACAATAGTAATGATAATAATAATTTGTATTTTTAGGAGACTCAAAGTATCTCACAATCCAAAACATTGCAACTTTAAATATACGAATATACAACAATTATATTTATTAGTTGTTGTTCATTCATTCAGTCGTCTCCGACTCTTCGTGACCTCATGGACCAGCCCACGCCAGAGCTCCCTGTCGGCCGTCACCACCCCCAGCTCCTTCAAGGTCAAGCCAGTCACTTCAAGGATGCCATCATTCATCCATCTTGCCCTTGGTCGCCCCTTCTTCCTTTCTCTAGGCTTTGCTGTCTCCTCATGATGTGGCATTCAAAGGACTTCCACTTTGTCTCTAGTCTCCTTCCCTCCAGTGAGCAGTCGGGCTTTCTTTCCTGGAGGATGGACTGGTTGGATCTTCTCGCAGTCCAAGGCACTCTCAGCACTTTCCTCCAACACCACAGCTCAAAAGCATCGATCTTCCTTCGCTCAGCCTTCCCTAAGGTCCAGCTCTCACATCCGTAGGTTACTACAGGGAATACCATGGCTTGGACTAGGCAATGGATCTTTGTTGCCAGTCTGATGTCTCTACTCTTTACTATTTTATCGAGACTGGACATTGCTCTCCTCCCAAGAAGGAAGCGTCTCCTGATTTCCTGGCCTCCGTCTGCGTCTGCACTCATCTTCCCACCTAGAAATACAAAGTCTGTCACGGCCTCCACATTTTCTCCCTCTATTTTCCAGTTGTCAATCATTCTTGTTGCCATAATCTTGGTTTTTTTGACGTTTAGCTGCAACCCGGCTTTTGCGCTTTCTTCTTTCACCTTGATTAGAAGGCTCCTCAGTTCCTCCTCGCTTTCGGCCATCAGAGTGGTGTCATCTGCATATCTGAGGTTGTTAATGTTTCTTCCAGCAATTTTCACCCCAGCTTTGCATTCATCCAGCCCCGCACATCGCATGATGTGTTCTGCATACAAGTTAAAAAGGTTGGGTGAGAGGATGCAGCCTTGCCGTACGCCTTTCCCAATCTTGAACCCGTCTCCTGTTCCGTGGTCAGTTCTGACTGTTGCTACTTGGTCCTTGTACAGATTCCTCAGGAGAGAGGGAAGGGGGCTTGGGATGCCCATCCCACTCAAGAACTTGCCACAATTTATGATGATCCACACAGTCAAAGGCTTTGGAATAGTCAATGAAGCAGAAGTAGATGTTTTTCTGAAACTCCCTGCCTTTCTCCATTATCCAGCGGATATTGGCAATCTGGTCTCTCGTTCCTCTGCCTTTTCTGAACCCAGCTTGAACATCTGGCAACTCTCGCTCCATGTATTGCTGGATTCTTCCTTGAAGGATCTTGAGCATTACCTTACTGGCATGAGAAATAAGGGCCACTGTACGGAAGTTGGAGCAGTCTTTCGCATTTCCCTTTTTTGGTATGGGGATATAAGTTGATTTTTTCAGAGTCTGATGGCCATTCTTGTGTTTTCCATATTCGCTGGCAAATGGCATGCATCACCTTGACAGCATCATCTTTTAAGATTTTAAACAGTTCAGCTGGGATCCCGTCGTCTCCTGCTGCCTTGTTGTTAGCAATGCTTCTTAAGGCCCATTCCACCTCACTCCTCAGGATGTCTGGTTCTAATTCATTCACCACATTGTCAAAACTATCCTCGATATTATTATCCTTCCTATACAGATCTTCTGTATAGTCTCGCCACCTTCTCTTGATCTCTTCAGCTTCTGTTAGGTCCCTGCCATCTTCGTTTATTTATTAGTAGTAATTATATTTAATATACTAGTATTACTATATTACAATATTATTATATGGTATTATTATATTACATTATAGTAGTATTATCAATATTATATGTACATATAATATATTATTAGCACAATATTAGCATTATATATTACAATATTGTACTATACCACTATACTGCAATATTATTAGTAATATTATATGTAATATATATTATTATATATACTTATATATAATAATTATTTATACTCTGCTTTATCTCTCTAAAATGAGACTCAGAGTGGCTTAACATAAAAAGCATCAGCATACAATTTAAAATATACCAATACTATCAATATTATGTGTATATATAATATATTATTAGCATAGCATAATATTAGCATTATATATTACGAAATTGTACTATACCACTATAATACATTATTATAAGTAATATTACATGTAATATAATACATTTATTATATACATATTTATTATATATGTAATATGTATTATTATATATTACTTATTACTATATATAATATTTATTTATACTCTGCTTTAGCTCTCTAAAAGGAGACTTGAAGCAGCTTAACATCAAAAGCATCAGTATACAATTTAAAGTATACCAATACCAATATTATCAATATTATATGTATATATAATATATCATTAGCATAGCACAATATTAGCATTACATATTATGAAATTATACTATACTGCAATATTATTAGTAATATTACATGTAATATATAAATATATATATTATATATTTATTTATTATATATGTAATATATATTATGATATATTATTTATAACTATATATAATATGTGTGTGTGCAAATATATATAATATTTATTTATACTCCACTTTATCTCTCTAAAAGGAGACTCGAAGCAGCTTAATGTCAAAAGCATCAGCATACAATTTAAAATATATCAATATGCAAACATTAAATCAATATAAATATTTTTTAAGCAGTATTAAAAGAAAACTATTTAAAAATGTTATTAAATTTGAAAAAATGTTCTGTTCCTGTTTTGAAAGTGTTATTTGCTGTTTAATAATAATAGTAATAGTATTAATAATAATGGCATTGATAACCAAGGAACAAAAATCACGTTATGTAGTGTTATTAATAATGGTGATTATGTTGATAATAATAATACTAATACTAATAATATTGACATTGATAACCTAGGGAAAAAAATCATGTTACATAGTGTTGTTATTATTTTGCCTCTTTTGGCGCAATAATTAATATTATTAATAATTAATATAATATAATAATTCAGTCTTTCCTCTTTCTTCTTAGTCCTCCCGAAGGCCCCGCGAAGAGCGCGACGTGTCGCAGAGCGAAAGCGTGGCCTCCACCGTCTCAGCCCAAGAGGATGAAGACATCGAAGCCTCCAACGAGGAGGAGAACCCTGAAGACAGCGAAGGTCAGGAGTCTATAGGTGGTTGTTGTTGTTGTTGTTGTTCGCCTTCAAGTTGTTTCCGATTCAAGGCGACCCTGGACCCATCCACACAGTATCTTTATCTCAGGAGCTCCCGATTCAGAAAACAACAGAGGCTCCCCCTTGGGCAATGAGTTACAAGTAACCCATTACAAGTAGTTACAACACAGGAACAACAGAAATCAGGTCGTGAGAGGCTTCCCACTTGGGTAACCAGTTATAAGTAGTTACAACACACGGGAACAACAGAAAATGGGCAATGAGAGACTTACCCTTTGGATAGGTAATTATAAGTAGTTCTAACAAAGAAGCAACAGAAATTGGGCTGCGAGAAGCTTTCCCCTTGGGTAACAAGTTATAAGTAGTTACAACACAGGAACAACAGAAATTGGGCCGTGAGAGGCTTCCCCTTTGCGTAGCTAGTTATGAGTAGTTATAACGCAGAAGTAACAGAAATTGGGCTGTGAGATGCTTCCCCCTTGGGTAAGTAGTTATAGGTAGTTACAACACTATAGGTAGTGAGAGGCTTCCCCTTTGGATAGTTATAAGTAGGTGTAACACAGAAGCAACAGAAATTGCTTGGGATTGGCAGGGGTTGGAGATCTTTCTCTTTTTTTCAGCTTTTCACAGCATTGAGTGTTTGGTAATACCTGTGGTAAACCACCCAGAGTCCCCTTGGGGAGATAGGGCGGGATATTAAAAAAGTATTATTATTATTATTATTATTATTATTATTATTATTATTATTATTACAGTAGAGTATCGCTTACCTGACATAAATGGGCCGGCAGAACATCAGATAAACGAAAATGTCCGATAATATGGAGGCTCCTACTGTTACCCGTCCGAATGTTGGATAAGCAAAGTTTGGATAAGCGAGACTCTGCTGTATTATTATTATTATTATTATTATTATTATTATTACTATTACTATTATTGCATTATTGTTGTTATTACAGTCGAGATTGCTTATTTGACATAAACAGGTTGGCAGAACATCAGATAAATGAAAATGTCAGATAATACGGAGTCTCCCATTGTTACTTGTCCAAATGTCGGATAAGCGAAGGTCGGATAAGCGATATTCAGCTGTATTATTATTGTTGTAATTACAGTCGACGTTCGCTTATCCGATATAAACGGGCTGGCAGAATGTCAGATAAACGAAAATGTTGGATAATACGGAATCTCCCACTGTTACCCGTCCAAATGTCGGATAAGCAAAGGTCGGACAAGTGAGACTCTGCTGTATTATTATTATTACTATTATTGTATTATTATTGTTGTTATTACAGTCGAGTATCGCTTATCTGACATAAACAGGTTGGCAGAACATCAGATAAATGAAAATGTCAGATAATACGGAGTCTCCCACTGTTACTTGTCAAAATGTTGGATGAGTAAAGGTCAGATAAGCGGGATTCTGCTGTATTATTATTATTATAGTATTATTATTATTGTTATTACAGTCGACGCTCGCTTATCCGATATAAACAGGCTGGCAGAATGTCAGATAAACGAAAATGTCGGATAATATGGAGTCTCCTATTGTTACCCGTCCAAATGTCAGATAAGCGAAGGTCAGATAAGTGAGACTCTATTGAATTATTATTATTATTTGAGACACAACAAGATGAGTTCACAGCAGACAAGATTACTTTGCTGGCTGTTGTATTGGATCACACGTTGGACACTTCCCAAGTGTCTAGGACTGTGTAATGTATCGGCAAATAATGCATGCAGATCCTATTATTATTAACAATATTATTATCTGTGATGGCGTTCTGGTCATTGCAATGAATGCTTCCTCCTCAGGTGCTGAGAACAGCTCCGACACCGAGAGTGCCCCCTCACCTTGCCCGACAGAGGCCACCAAGCCAGCGGAAGACGCCCCTCCGGAGAGCCACTCGTCCCGGGTGGCGTCAGAAGCTGCGCCGGAGGGTGAATCCACCACGAAGCCGGTCCCAAGCGGGTCCCCTCCTCTTTCTCCTCCTCCTCCTGCTCCGGAGGCCCAGAGTGTCAAGGTGGAGGAGAAGGGGGCGGCGGAGCTGCAGGTGAAGGAAGAGGCGCCAGGCGAGGTGGAGGAGCCCATGGAGGCGGGGTGCGACTCCAAGCCCCTCCTAGGCTTGCTGGCCGGTGCCAAGGCCGAGCCCCCGGAGGCCCCTCAAGAGGTCCAGGTCAAGGCGGAGAGCAGTGAGACCAAGGAGCGGGTGGAAGAGGAGGCGGAGGCAGCCCCGGCGCCCACGGAGAAGGGCCAGCCCCAGAGGATGGGCTTCGGGCCCCCCGCCCAGGCCCCGCCTCCCCCGGACCACTCCGACAATGACTCCAGCGCCACCTGCAGCGCCGACGAGGAGGTCGATGGGGAGCCCGACAGGCAGCGGTGGGCCTCCCTCCCGCGGGGAAGCCAGAGCCCACTGCCCTCCGCTGAGAGCAGGTGAGTGCATCCCTCCAGCGGACACGCAAACACTCATAACCACCACCACAACAACAATAAATAGGCATAGCTTCCAAGCAGCATCTCGTCCGGAAATAATAATGGCAATAATAATAATACTAATAATACTAATACTAATAATAATAATGGTCTCCAGGCAACATAGAGTCCAGCAATAATAATAATAGTAATAATAATAGCCTCCCGGCAATATATATTCCAGCCATAATAGTAATAATAATAATTAGGCAAGGGCAATCCATGGTTCTAAATGATTCTAAAGTACAAAACTAGAGGGCGCTGGTGCATTACTTCTAAAGTGTTGCTAAAGTTCTGGTGGTGAAAATTTCAGAACTCTTAACAAAACTTTCAAAATTTTGTTATAAATGGCAGTTCCTGATTGGTTCTGTCATAAAAATCGCCAATAACAAAATAATAATAATGGCTTCTCGGCAACATATAGTTCAGCTACAACAACAATAACAATAGTGTCCCTACAACAACAATAACAATAGTGTCCTAGCAACATATATTCAAGCTGTAATAATAATAATAATAGAAGTAGTAATAGTAGTGGTAGTAGTAATGGCTACTTGGCAACATATAGTCCAGCTACAACAAAAACAGTGTCCCAGCAACATAGATTCAAGCTATAATAATTATAATAGTAGTAGTAATAGTAGTAGCAGTGGTGATAGTAATGGCTACTCAACATCATGTGGTCCAGCTACAACAACAACAACAATTATAATATTGTCCCAGCAACATATATTCAATCTATAATAATCATAATAGTAGTAGTAATAGTAGTAGCAGTGGTAATATTAATGGCTACTCAACAACATGTGGTCCAACTACCACAACAACAATAACAATAATTATAATATTGTCCCAGCAACATATATTCAAACTATAATAATCATAACAGTAACAGTAATAGTAGTAGCAGTGGTAATAGTAATGGCTACTCAACATCATGTAGTCCAGCTACAACAACAACAACAATAGTTATAATATTGACCCAGCAACATATATTGAAACTATAATAGTAATAATAATAATAGAAGTAGTAATGGCTTCTCTGCAACCTATAGTCCTACAATAATAATAATAATAATAATAATAATTATTATTATTATTATTATTATTATTATTATTGCGGGACTATAAACCGCCTGTAAACTGCCTTGAGTCGCCTTCGGGCTGAGAAAGGCGGTATATAAATACGGTATATTATTATTATTATTAATAATAATAATAATAATAATAATAATAATTTGTTTGTTAAGCCTAAAATGGTTTGGTATTATCTATCCCTTTTTTGACTAATTTCTGAAGGATGTCATTCTCTTCTCTGATCCGCAGAGAGTTGATTTGAGTCTCGTTTCAGAGGGGAAAGCGGTGGTCATAATAAATAATAATAATTATGATAATAACAATAGTAATAGTGGCGATGGAGCACGTGGTTTCCTAGAAGGCTGCTCTTTGCAGTCGGTTTAACACCAGCCCCCTTTCTTTCCTTCCTTCCTTCCTTCCTTCCTTCCTTCCATCCGGGATAAAGGGAGAGGGTTGTGAGTAATGGAAAGTTTCCTGTGACTTGGGACCGCATTCCACTGAGCGGTCGCAAAATGTCAAAGCTATCGCGTTGCCCTCATTCCCGGCCTCGCTTTTTTCTCTATTTGTCTGCAAGGGAAGATTGTCTGCAGAAGGGATTCCCTTGCACCTCACTCATTGGGTGCGTCCACACTGTCGAATTAACCCAGTTTGGCACCGCTTAGACTGCCGAGGAAGTCGGCGTTCGTCCTCTTTGGCGGAGAAAGCTAAGCGCCTTGTTGCAAGATATCATTGAGCCATGGCATTTCAGGGGACGTCAAACTGCATCAAATATACTTTGAGCTGCTTCATTGAATTTGATAGGAAATTATAGAAAATGCATAAGGTTGTGGGTGAACTACAACTCCCATCATGCCAGGTTAAGCCCCTGAAGCTCCATCACTACTTAAAGTTTGTTATGTTGGGCAAGTTTGCTCTGGATACATCATCGGTAGAGTTCAGTGTGCTCTCTGGCTGTAGGGTGAACTACAACTCCCACTATGGTGAGTCAACCCCTCAAACCCCTACAGTAGGTTGAGTGAGTCATGGGGGTTCTGTGTGCCGAGTGTGGTACAGGTCCGTCATTAGTGGAGGTCACGGTTTCTCTAGTTGTGGGTGAACTACAACTCCCAGAAAGGAAGGTCAGTTCCCACCAAACCCCTTCAGTAATCGAATTTCGGCATCTCAGGTTTATGTCCCAAGTTTGGTCCTGATCCATCGGTGTTTGGGTTCACAGTGCTCTCTGGATATAAGTGGACTACAACTCCCACAAATCAAGGTGAATTTTCCCCAAAGGCCTCCAGTGTTTTTGGCTGGTCATGGGGGCTCTGTGTGCCAAGTTTGGTCTAATTTCATCTTTGGTGGAGTTCAGACTACTCATTGATTGCAGGTGAACTATAAATCCCAGTAGTTACAACTCCAAAATGTCCAGGCCAGTTGCCCTCAGAACCCACCAGCATTCAAATGTGGGCATATCGGGTATGCATGCCAAGTTTGGTCCAGATCCATCATTGTTTGGGTTCATAGTGCACTCTGGATATAGGTGAACTACAACTCCCATCCATCCCTCCAAAGACCTCCAGTATTTTTTTCTTGTTCATGGGGGTCCTGTGTGACAGAGTTAGTTCCAGCTCAATCATTGGTGGAGTTCAGAGTGCAGTTGTTAGATTGCAGGTGAACTATACATCCCAGGACCTACAACTCCTCTAAATCAGGGTGAACTCTCTGCAAACCTCTCGAGTATGTTCAGTTTTCTGTGTGCCATAGAAAAGAGTAGGAAAGAGTTGAGGGAGAGGCTGTGGGCATGGTCATGCAAATTCCACATCAGTTGAGAGAGTCAGAAACACTGGGATGCCTGTGGTGGAGGAAACACATACAATCTAAGATGGAATTGTCCTTGTATGAAAGCCTTGACTTGGGTGGTGGGCAGTGTGGTGTTGATGGAGGATATTGGCAGGGCTCTTGGACATCTTCATGGCGCTCACTATAATCTGCAATGTCATTGGAAGGAGGGCCTTTGGTGTATCCTGAGTAGTGGGAGATATAGTGTTTGTGGAGGTGGGAGATTGTCAGTACAATGTTATTATTTCTATGTATTATTATATTTGTGAAGCCGCCCTGAGTCTCCCCTTGGGGGTGAGAAGGGCGGGGTATCAATATATGAAATAATAATAATAATAATAATAATAATAATAATAATAATAATAATAATTTTTCTTTCCGTCGCTCCAGGATCTTCTCAATGGATGGCAAGCCTTCCATCTTGAACCCCGGTGGTCCCCTCCTGGTGTCACCCAACATCAAACAAGGGCCGATGGACCTGCAGCAGCTCCAGAACCGGGCGGCCGTCATCCCGCCAATGGTATGTTTGTAAACAAATGCAGTTTGTGTGTTCTGTTTTAGAGAAGAGGGGAATCCGAATGACCACCTCTCCGTTCTTCTTCCCCTTCCCAGGTCTCTTCCTCCTCCTTGCCGGGGCTGCCCCAGGGGATGGCCATGAGCGGCTACACCCTCTTCCAGCAGCACATCAAAGCCATGCACAAGTCCACCATGCTGGAGGAGCAGCAGCAGCGCCAGCGGCAAGAGCAGATGGAGGCTGAGTGTCGGCGGTCAGCCAGCCCCTGCGGCCCGGCCAGGAGTCCCAACATTGAGTGGGACGGTAAGCAACAGGGCGCGAGCGACCGTCTTTAACCTTTCCCACCGGTCTCAAAGAGCTAACTCTAACTCCTAACCCTGACTCCTAACGCCTTACCCCTAACTCCTAACCCCTAATCCTAGCTCTTAACTTCTCACCTTAGCAATTTACCCCTACCCCTAACTTCTAACCCCTTACCCCTAACCTGTAACCCTAAAAGAGTTACAGGTTACTCTTAACCCCTAACTCTAGCTCTAACCCCTAACTTCTCCTTACCCCTTACCCTAACTCCTGTCCCCTTCCCCTAACCCTAGGTCATAACTCTTCACCCTAACTCCTAGCACCTTACCCCTAACCCTAACTTCTAACCCTAACTCCTAACCCCTTACCCCAACTCCTAACCGCTAATCCTAGCTCTTAACTTCTCACCCTAGCACCTTACCCCTACCCCTAACTTCTAACCCCTTACCCCTAACTCCTAACCTGTAACCCTAACTCTTTAATTCTTAACCCTTAACTCTAGCTCTTAAACTCTCACTCTAACTCCTAACACCTTACCCCTAACCTTAACTTCTAACCCTAATTCCTAACCCCTTACCCCTAACTCATAACCCTAACTCTTTAACTCCTAGGCCATCACTCTAGCTCAGGGGTAGGGAACCTTCGGCCCTCCATGTGGTGGACTTCAACTCCCACAATTCCTTGAGGCTCGGCATTGGGCCACGGTAAGCCTTTGGGGCGAATGCCGAGCCTCAAGGAATTGTGGGAGTTGAAGTCCACCACACCTGGAGGGCCGAAGGTTCCCTACCCCTGCTCTAGCTCTTAACTTCTCATCCTAACTCCTAACACCTTCCCCCAACCCTAACTCCTGCCCCCTTACCCCTAACTCCTAACCCTAGCTCTTAACTCCTCACCCTAACTCCTAACACCTTACCACAACCCTAACTTCTAACCTCCAACCTTAACTCCTAACCCCTTACCTCTAACTTCTAGCCCGTAATCCCAATTCTTTAACACCTAACCCTAACTCCTAACCCCTAACTCTAGCACTTAACTCCTCACCCTAACTCCTAACCCCTTACTCCTAACTCGTAACCCTAACTATTTAACTCCTAACTCTAGCTCTTAACTCCTCACCATAACTCCTAACACCTTCCCCCTAACGCTAACTCCTGCCCCCTTACCCCTAACTCCCAACCCTAGCTCTTAACTCTTCACCCTAACTCCTAACACCTGACCCCAACCCTAACTCCTAACCCCTTGCCTCTAACTCCTAACCCGTAATCCCAATTCTTTAACTCCTAACCCCTAACTCTAGCACTTAACTCCTCCCCTTGACTCCTAACACCTTACCCTAGCCCTAACTCTTGTTCCCTTACCCCTAGCCCCTTACCCCTAACTCTTAACTCCTAATCCTAACCCCTTACTCTTAACCCCTTACCCCTAACTCCTAAACCCTAATTCCTATCCCTTTACCCCTAACTCCTAACCCCAACCCTCTTAACTCCTAACCCCTAACACCTTACCCCAACTCCTAACCCCTAACTCTAACTCCTAACCCTCAACTTAGAACCCTAACCCTAACCCTTGCAGTTTAGCTTGCAGAAGGGGAGACGTGAGAGAGGAGCCATGTTGCAATAGCCCTAAGGAAGAGGGAGCAGGCTTCCTTTCTGCTGCCCTGGAGAATAATAATAATAACAACAACAACAACAACAACAATAATAATATCAAATGTTATTTCCTGCCTTTATTGATAGCTTGAGGTAGAGTTTTGTTTTGTTTTGTTTATTTATTTGAGTCAGGAGAGATAGTTAATCGCCCTGACATGGGACCCCGTTTTGTGTGCTAAAGAGATCTTTCAGGTGGGCAATTTAATGTTTAATTTGGCTCTGAAGCGGACTAAGTGTTGATTCTCCCTAGAAAGAAAACAAGACAGTTTGACAATGGGGGTCCCACCTGGTTGTTCTGACCAAAAGCGGTTGTAAACGTTGAGGCTTCATCACGTTATGAACCTTTTGCTTCGTCCGTTCATCACAATCCCATTTGGAGAGGTAACTCGTTGTGTCTCTGCTCACGTCGCTCCCTTGCCTCCTCGCAGGGAAGCCCATGGCCTACATGCCATACGCCGAAGTGAAGCGCGCCATGGAGCAGGAGGCGCAGATGCAGAGCGCGGTGGTGCGCTCCTCCTCACCATACCGCCTGTCGCCCCGGGAGGTCAGCAAGGCCTCCCCTCAGCCGGACATCAACGCCGTGCGCTACAGCGTCCCACCAGGTAATCGGGAATCGGGAATAGACACCGCTCCAAGATCCACTTTGAGTCTCCTTGGTGGAGAGAAAAAGCAGAGCATAAGAATATAATAATAATTATATATTATTATATAATTATAATATACTATTATAATATACTATTATATAACATAATTCTATAATATAATTATAATTATGGTGATCGGTACACTGGGTGCAGTGCCTAAAGACCTTGGCCTGCACTTAAACTCAATCGGCGCTGACAAAATTACCACCTGCCCGTTGCAAAAGGCCACCTTACTGGGATCTGTACGCATTATTCACCGATTCATCACACAGTCCTAGACACTTGGGAAGAGTCCGACGTGTGATCCAATACAACAAACAACAGAACCCCCATGACCCACTCAACATCCTGGTGCAGTTTGGAGGAAAATGGACCACGGGGACTTGCAGTACCTTCACTCACTTTCTGAGACCAATGCGACCCTCATCCAATGATTGATCAAGACCAAAGTTGCCACACAGAGCCCCCATGACCCACTCTTCATCCTGGTGCAGTTTGGAGGAAGATGGACCACGGACGATGGGACTTGCAGTACCTTCACCTTTCTGAGACCACTGCGACCCTCATCCAATGACTGATCAAGACCACACTTGCCACACGAAGCCCCCATGGCCCATTCTACATCCTGGTGCAGTTTCGAGGAGGACGGATCACGGACGATGGGACTTGCAGTACCATCACTCACTTTCTGCGACCACTGCGACCCTCATCCAATGACTGATCAAGACCAAACTTGGCACACAGAGCCCCCATGACCCACTCTACATCCTGGTGCTGTTTGGAGGAGGGTGGACCATGGACGATGGGACTCACAGTACCTTCACTAACTTCCTGAGACCACTGCGAGCCACATAAATAACTGATAAAGACCAACCTTGGCACATAATGGTTTTCTCAAATAACCCAAGCATCACCAGGTCTCCAGGCTTGTGTGTGTGTATGTGTGTGTAACCCTTTTTGTTAGCAAGGTGGTCTCCTTGGAGATCTACTGTTTTCCCTCCTGAATATCAGATTCCATTTCTCAGATCCTTAGTTTCTTTCTAGCTTCATACACAAGTAGCGAACAAATGAGATGTGAGGCTCGAGAGAGATGCGAGGATCTTACTCATCACTGAGCCCTTTGCTTGGATTCCTACCGTTTTACAATCCAAAATTCAAAGCGCTTCCCAGGCATTTTGGATGAGAAATCCTTGTCTTGCACTAGAAACCTGAAAAATATCCTACTGTTGATGACATACCGATATTTGCCTTGAACGATTTGCTAAGATCTCTTTTTTCTTTCGCTTCCTTTTTCGTTTACAAGATGGTCGGCCTCCTCGGGAGATCTCCAATACATTACTGTTTCAATTCTTGGATATCAGATCTTTTATATTCTCCATTCCTCAGATCCTTTGTCTCTTTCCAGCCTCATGTCTCATGCACAAGAGATGCGAGGCTGTAGAGAGATGCGAGGATCTTTCCCATCACGGGATGCACAGATTCTCATCGGTCCCTACGTTTTACAGTCCGAAATTGAAAACATCCCCCAAGCGTTTCAGATGAGAGATCCTCCTCTTGTACTAGCAAACCTGAAACATATCCTGCTGTTGATGACATTCTGTTGGTGGGAGTCTCTATCGATTGACTCTGCTAAAATGTCTTTAATTTTCCTCCCCTATTTTCCCAAGTTCTCCAGCCCGCGCCTCACCAAGTCATCACCAACCTCCCCGAAGGAGTCCGGCCCCTGACGACCCGGCCGACCCGACCTCCGCCCCCGTTGATCCCCTCCTCCAAAACGGCGGTGCCCTCCGAGAAGCCCTCTTTCATCATGGGGGGATCCATCTCACAGGTGAGGGGGCAGCGGAGAAAATAGCCCCACGTGCCACTAGGGAGACCCTGCGACCAGAATCTGAAATTTTCGAAGTCCCAATCTTCTCCTTTCAAGGCAACATCTGTTGGTCTCCTCATTGTCCATTTACAAGGCAGGAGTGGGAGGTTGTCAGGGCCTATCGATTTCCTATATCAAACTTTTTTTTTATTCAGGAAAGTTTTTAAGATCAGTCTTGAATATGTTTTTATGGACTTAACTGAATTGTTTTTCATATCAATGATATTTAATTCTGTTTTAATATTTGTATGTTTTAAATTGTATTGATATGCTTTGAATGTTACCCGCTTTGAGTCTCCTTGTGGAGAGAAAAAGCAGGATATAAATAATCATAAACATAATATTGATATAATATTTTATCTTTTTTACATATATGAGCTCTTTTATATCCTCAGTCTCTCAGATCCTCAGTGTTTACAAATATCAGGTCTTCTATTTCCTCAGTCTTTTTAAGTCGCAGTTCTTCTATTTCCTCAGTCTTTACAAATATCAGGACTTCTATATCCTCAGTGTTTACAAATATGACGTCTTGTATTTCCTCGGTCTTTACAAATATCAGATTTTCTATATCCTCAGTGTTTACAAATATCAGGTCTTCTATTTCCTCAGTCTTTACAAATATCAGATCTTCTATATACTCAGTGTTTACAAATATCAGGTCTTCTATTTCCTCAGTTTTTTGAAATATAAGGTCTTCTATTTCCTCAGTTTTTACAAATATCAGATCTTCTTTTTCCTCAGTCTTTACAAATATCTGGTCTTCTATATCCTCAGTGTTTACAAATATCAGTTCTTCTATATCCTCAGTCTTTACAAATATCTGGTCTTCTATATCCTCAGTTTTTACATATATCAGATCTTCAATTTCCTCAGTTTTCACAAATATCAGGTCTTCTATTTCCTCAGTGTTTACAAATATCAGGTCTTCTATTTCCTCAGTGTTTACAAATATCAGTTCTTCTATATCCTCAGTCTTTACAAACATCAGGTCTTCTATATCCTCAGTGTTTACAAATATCAGGTTTTCTATATCCTCAGTCTTTACAAATATCAGGTCTATATCCTCAGTCTTTGCAAATATCAGGTCTTTTATATCCTCAGTGTTTACAAATATCTGGTCTTCATTTCCCCAGTCTTTACAAATATCAGGTCTTCTATATCCTCAGTCTTTACATATATCAGATCTTCTATTTCCTCAGTGTTTACAAATATCAGGTCTTCTATTTCATCAGTTTTTTGAAATATCAGGTCTATTTCCTCAGTCTTTACAAATATCAGGTCTTCATTTCCTCAGTCTTTTTAAGTATCAGGTCTACAATATCCTCAGTCTTTACCAATATCAGGTCTTCTATTTCCTCAGTCTTTACAAATATCAGGTCTTCTATATCCTCAGTCTTTTCAAATATCAGGTCTTCTATATCCACAGTGTTTACAAATATCAGGTCTTCTATTTCCTCAGTCTTTACAAATATCAGGTCTTCTATTTCCTCAGTCTTTACAAATATCAGGTCTTCTATTTCCTCAGTGTTTACAAATATCAGGTCTTCTATTTCCTCAGTCTTTTCAAATATCAGGTCTTCTATATCCTCAGTGTTTACAAATATCAGGTCTTCTATATCCTCAGTGTTTACAAATATCAGGTCTTCTTTTCCTCAGTCTTTACAAATATCAGGTCTTCTATTTCCTCAGTGTTTACAAATATCAGGTCTTCATTTCCCCAGTCTTTACAAATATCAGGTCTTCATTTCCTCAGTCTTTTTAAGTATCAGGTCTACAATATCCTCAGTCTTTACCAATATCAGGTCTTCTATTTCCTCAGTCTTTACAAATATCAGGTCTTCATTTCCTCAGTCTTTACAAATATCAGCTCTTCTATTTCCTCAGTGTTTACAAATATCAGGTCTTCATTTCCTCAGTCTTTACCAATATCAGGTCTTCTATTTCCTCAGTCTTTACAAATATCAGGTCTTCATTTCCTCAGTGTTTACAAATATCAGGTCTTCATTTCCTCAGTCTTTACAAATATCAGSTCTTCTATTTCCTCAGTGTTTACAAATATCAGGTCTTCTATTTCCTCAGTGTTTACAAATATCAGGTCTTCTATTTCCTCAGTCTTTACAAATATCATGTCTTCTATTTCCTCAGTCTTTTCAAATATCAGCTCTTCTATTTCCTCAGTCTTCACAAATATCTGGTCTTCATTCTCAGTCTTTACAAATATGAGGTCTTCTATTTCCTCAGTCTTTACAAATATGAGGTCTTCTATTTCCTCAGTCTTTACAAATATCAGGTCTTCTATTTCCTCAGTCTTTTCAAATATCAGGTCTTCTATATCCTCAGTGTTTACAAATATCAGGTCTTCTATATCCTCAGTGTTTACAAATATCAGGTCTTCATTTCCTCAGTCTTTACAAATATCAGGTCTTCTATTTCCTCAGTCTTTACAAATATCAGGTCTTCATTTCCTCAGTCTTTTTATGTATCAGGTCTACAATATCCTCAGTCTTTACCAATGTCAGGTCTTCTATTTCCTCAGTCTTTACAAATATCAGGTCTTCTATTTCCTCAGTCTTTACAAATATGAGGTCTTCTATTTCCTCAGTGTTTACAAATATCAGGTCTTCTATTTCCTCAGTCTTTTCAAATATCAGGTCTTCTATTTCCTCAGTATTTACAAATATCAGGTCTTATATTTTCTCAGTCTTTACAAATATCAGGTCTTCTATTTCCTCAGTATTTACAAATATCAGGTCTTCTATTTCCTCAGTCTTTACAAATATCAGCTCTACTATATCCTCAGTCTTTACAAATATCAGGCCTTCCATTTCCTCAGTCTTCATAAATATCAAGCATTTTGTATCCTCAGTCTTTACAAATACCAAGTCTTCTATATCCTCAGTCTTTATAAATGTCAGGTTTATTTTCTCAGTCTTTAGGAATATCAGGTTTTATATACTCAAGTCTTTATAAAAATCAGGTCTTTTATATCTCAGTCTTTACAAAAATCAAGACTTCTATTTCCTCAGTCTTTATCAATATCATGCCTTTGATACCCTCAGTCTTTATTAATATTCGGTCTTCTATATCTTTGCGAATGAGACACAAGGCTGGAGAGAAATGCGAGGGTCTCTGCAATTCTGGGGGTTCTGTGTTTAGACTTGGGTTGAGTCCCCCAAGATCCCACATACATGCGTGTGACAATATTCCAAAATCCGAAGCTATCCCGGTGCCAAGCATTTCAGAAAAGAGGTTCCTTTCTTAAGTTTAGATTGCCATGTTCCCCTCCTTAACTTCTTCCTTTTCTCCCCCTTTCTTCCCTTCTTCCAGGGCACCCCCGGGACGTACTTGACCTCCCACAGCCAAGCGTCCTATGGCCAAGAGCCCTCCAAGCCCTCGGTGGGCTCCATCTCCCTCGGATTGCCAAGGCAGCAGGACTCCGCCAAATCAGGTAAGGAAGGAAGGTGCCTGGTTTCCTGAGAAGCACGTTCCTCTTGTGTTTGAATGACCGCTACCAGGATCCTGAAGCTGTCCTCAAAAGAGAGGCTCACAGTGACAAGAAACTCTTCCTTTCCCTGCTTTCTAGCTTCCCTGCCGTACATCAAGCAGGAGGAATTTTCTCCCCGAAGCCAGAACTCGCAGCCCGAAGGCCTCTTGGTCAGAGCCCAGCATGACGGGGTGGTTCGAGGTGAGCAAAACATGGGCTCTTGGGGTCATCTCCATCTATTTTGGACCCCTAAAATTAATTCTCAATCTGTTTGTATATATTTTTTCATCATCACACTTTATTACGGTCCAGAGACCCCCTTTTCAATAACTTTGATTGACATTTCTTCCGTAACATTACCTATAACAACAGTTCTCAACCTGGGGATCGCGACCCCTAGAGGGGTCGATTGGCTGTTTCAGAGGGGTTGTGTGGCCTCCTCCTTCAGCCCCATCCCCTTGACCTCCCTGAAATGGCTATCGGGCCCCCGGGGGCACCACAGCAGGGCCTTGGCCAGGCAGGGAGGCTTTCCTAGCTGCCATCGCTACCACCGAAAATGCCCCTGTGGTTATCAGGGCACACCCTGTGTCACGATGACAGGACTTTGCCAGTACGCAGGCAGAGGTGAACCAAAACAAACACCTAGCTTGTGTCAAACCGTTTAATTTACACAGGCAGAGGTGAACCAAAACAAACACCCAGCTTGTGTCAAAGAGTGTAAAGTAGCACTTACTGTTTTCATAGTCCAAAAACATTGCCTTTGTAATATATGTAATTTCTTTCTGCTTGTGGGTTAACAGTATTCCTTGTTGTTTCTTTGTCAGTGTTGATGTGGAGAGTGTCTGATTTGCCTACTCTGGAACATGCAACATAGCATTGTCCTTCTTTGGGGGTTCCTTTCAAATCTATGATACTATCTGTGTGTGTGTGTGAATCATATATATCTATATCTATCTCAGGAGGTCTTTGATTATGTTTTCTTGCCCTGGTGAAGGGAGCTGGTCTGGGTGGCCTTAAGTATTTTCTGTTGGTCATGGGGTTTCTGTGTGGGAAGTTTGCCCCAATTCTGTCATTGGTGTGGTTCAGAATGCTCTTTGATTGTAGGTGAACTATAAATCCCAGTAACTACAACTCCCAAATGTCAAGGTCTGTTTTTCCCCAAACTCCATCTCTGTGCATATTTGGACATACGGGATATTTTTTCCAAGTTTGGTCCAGATCCATCATTGTTTGAGTCCACAGTGCTCTCTGGATGTAGGTAAACTACAACTCCCAAACTCAAGGCCCACCAAACCCTTGTAGTGTTTTCTGTGTGCCACATTTGGTTGAATTCCATCGTTGGTGGAGTTCAGAATGCTCTTTGATTGTAGGTGAACTATAAATCCCAGCAACTACAACTCCCAAATGACAACATTAAATTTTTTTGAGTGATGGTCACTCCTTGGCTTAGTAGGTGTCTTGTGGCCAAATTTGCCAGCAATTCGTTCAGTGGTTTTTGAGTTATGTTAATCCCAGAAGCAGCGAATTCTAATCAAGCAATGCTTTGTGCCTCCAACTAGGGACGGCATCCGCTATCCAAGAAGGAAGCATCACTCGTGGGACACCAGCCAGCAAGGTTTCGGTTGAGACGATGCCATCTTTGCGTGGTTCCATCACCCAGGTACAGCTCTATTGATAGCCATCAGTACTAAACCGTCGCAGCCCAGCGGCCTTGTTTGCTGGGGGATTTGTCAATTTCCACAGTGCCTACAGCTTCTCACTATAAAAAGTCTCATTGGAGGATGACAGGGAGAGAAATACTGTATTTCATCACATAATTGTCGTACTTTCACCTGAAAAAAAGTGTGCGACTATTATGCGAGGGAAAAAATCTGTCTTCATTTTCCCTTTTGTTGTTTTCAAATATTATTTTATTTATATACAGCATTTTTACCCCGCCCTTCTCAACCCCCGGGGGGAAGGGGGGGGGGACTCAGAGCAGCTAACAAAGACAGTAATTCGATGCCACAATCAATAACAATCAATAACACAGTATAAAACCATTGGTTATAATTAATTGCTACTGTTTTAACTCTGTATGTAACTCAGTAGCAATTAATTATAACCAAATTATCAATTAGCAATTAAATATAACCAATAACAGTCATTAAAAACAAATAAAATGCCTTTCCTCTGAAAGGGGAGGAAAAGGAGGGAAAATCCAGTCTCAAACAAACAGCTGTTTCTGATCGAGCATTTGTTTTACACTAAGAGCCATTTTGTACGGATTCTCCATCCCTTCTTTCTCAGAAGGCAAGGCAGTTAAAGACTATAAAACCGAGGTCTCTGAAGCTTCTTTCTTCTCTCTTCTGCCTCCAAGGCCTTAAGGGAAAAAAACCCTGAAATGGAGGTCTCTGGAACTCGGATTATCCCTCCTTTCTTCAAAGAACTCACTTCCAGGTTTTGTGAACTGCCTTAAGGCCTCGGAGGAAGGAGGTAGGAGAGAAGAGTGGAGCTTCAGAGACCTCAGTTTTGCAGTTTTTAAACTGCCTTGCCTTGGAGGTTTCTGAAACTCCACTCTTCCCTCCTCTCTCCCTCTGCCTTTCTCCAAAGTCAAGGAAGCTTAAAAACTACAAAATCGAGGTTTTTGGAGCTTCAGTCTTCTCTCCTCCCTCCTTCCTTCTTTCCCCAAGGTCAAGGAAATTTTAAAAAGTACAAAATGGTGGACTCTGGAGTTCCACTCTTCTTTTCTCTCCTCCCTCTTTCCTTATGTCCCTGAACTCAAGGAAGTTTTAAAAAAAAACAAAATTGAGGCTTCTGGTTTCACTCTTCTCTCCTCCTTCCTTCCCTCTTCCCCTGAAGTCAAGGAAATGTTAAAAAGCAGAAAACGGTGGTCTCTGGAGCTCCACTCCTCTCTCCTCCCTCCTTCCTTATTTCCCCGAAGTTAAGGAAGTTTAAAAATGACAAAATGGAGGGCTCTGAAGCTCCACTCTTCTCTCATCCCTCCTTCTACATTTCCCCGAAGTCTAGGCAGTTTAAAAACTTCAAAGTGGAGGGCTCTGAAGCTGCACTCTTCTCTCATCCCTCCTTCCTTATTTCCCTGAACTCAAGGAAGTTTAAAAACTACAAAATGGAGGGCTCTAGAGCTCCACTCTTCTCTCCTCCCTCCTTCTATATTTTCCCGAAGTCTAGGCAGTTTAAAAACTACAAAATGGAGGGCTCTGAAGCCCCACTCTTCTCTCATCCCTCCTACCTTATTTCCCTGAACTCAAGGAAGTTTAAAAACTACAAACTGGAGGGCTCTGGAGCTCCACTCTTCTCTCCTCCCTCCCTCCTTCTTTCCTCAAAGGCAAGGCAGTTTAAAAACTACAAAATGGAGGGCTCTGGAGCTCCACTCTTCTCTCCACCCTCTTTCCATATTTCCCCAAAGTCAAGGCAGCTTGAAAACTACAAAATGGAGGGCTCTGGAGCTCCCCTTTTCTCTCCTCCCTCCTTCCTTCTTTCCCTGAAGTCAAGGAAATTTTTAAAAAGTACAAAATGGAGTTCTCTGGAGCTCCACTCCTTCCTTCTCAGTACACTCAATGTTTCTTGAATTGTAGTTACCCATCAACCTTTTACTGTTGATTCCAGTTCTGATAGTAGGACCCAGTAGCTTCCCTCTCAAATTCACAACGGGTGGGCTTTCTTTCCAGGGGACACCAGCCCTGTCCCAGTCGGGGATTGCGGCCGACGTTCTGCTAAAAGGGACCATCACACGCCTGGCCACGGAGGACAGCAGCCCCGAGAAGTGCCGGGAGGAAGCCGGCGCCTCCAAAGGCCACGTTATTTATGAGGGCAAGAGCGGGCACATCATCACCTACGACGGTAAGGAGATGGGGTGCTTGTGGGACGGCCTCACGGCCCGGTTTTGCTCCTTGCATTCCATTTACATATACTCAAACAATTATTTATTTTATAGTTGAGCTATTGGCTTTCAAAATGTGTATTTTTTTTGGCACACCAAGTGTTTTTGATTTTCACAAGTGGGCCTCCGTATCCACGCTCCCATTGTGACCAAGTGTCTCTGCTGTTTCCACAGCCATCAAGAACGTCCGAGAGGGAACCCGGAGCCCGCGGACAGCTCACGAGATGAGCCTGAAGCGGACCTACGACGCCATGGAAGGAAACATCAAGCAAGGGATGTCCATGAGGGAATCGCCCGTCTCTGCACCTTTGGAAGGTCAGTCAGCATTAGATTTGGGCCTGAATCAGTTTGAATGAAAATGAATTGTAATATTTGGTGGTTCGTTTTATATAATCTCTGAAAACAGAACAGGGAGGAGGGAACTGAAAAGCCAAACCAAACGGATTAAGAGAGCCAGGTATCAAAAAGTCTCTGACGTCCTCTCAGAGCATGATGGGAAGTTTGTTTCTTTCTGTTTCTCAGCCAATAAAAATGTGTCCCTGCTGTGATTGGCTGAGAATGGACACAACTGGCGACAACAATTCCTAGAAACCTCTCTTTTGTTTTGTCTCATTTTTAAAATGTTATGGTTAAAACTTAAAATAATTCTGAAAAATCAGTAAATGGATGAATTGCTTTGAAACTTGGCAAGCTTGCAGTTGTAAACGGGGTCTTAAAACCGAGATAGGGTTTCTGCAGATAGGCTGAGGGTGGAGCCTTTAAAGTTTCCCATTGCAGCCAATGAGCCAAATCTTTGCCAATTGAAAACAGCAACACTCCTCCGAATTCGAGTAAGTTCCCAGTAAACAGAATTTGCGGTTTCGTTAACGGCATTGAATGTTTGCAGTTTTGTATGTAAACCACTCTGAGTCCTCTCGGGGAGAGAGGACGGTCTGTAATTAAAGTATTTATTATTAATGAGAGGTTAGCCAAAAATGGACCCCGAAATGGCAGCTCATCATGCTTTTTGACCCAATTGCACACCTCTGGTGTCGGAACCCAGATGCCTTAAAGAGCCAGACACAGTATGTCCAAAACAGTAGTTTATTAAAGCAAATGAACAGGATTCAGAGACACTTGCTTCAGTGCCTCTGGTCAAAACTCAAAGTTTGCAGCAATTTGCAGGTTGAAAAACGAACTCAGAAAATAAACTGGGGAAAAAATCCGGATTAAACAAGAGTTCTTCCAAAACACACCAAAATCACACAGTTCAAAGATAATAAGCAAACAAAGAGCAGTGAAGAGAAGCCGTCGTATAGAAGCAGTCCAAAGTCAAAGAAATCCCAGTTAAAAGTTCCAAAGTCCAAAAGGCAGCGTCGTCATAAAAAACAGTCCGAAGTCAAGGAGAGGGGAAATCCGCACTTATGAGAAGCCAAGCCGGTCAGTACACGAAGAAAGCAGCAACCTGCAGATCCAGGACCCAAGACCAACAAGAAAAGCGTTAACGACAAGACCCAAGACACGAAACCAACACTTTGCCTACTGCAAAGTTCTATCATTCCAGTGCCTTCATTTATCTTACAGCTCATCATCCGATGATGAGTTGCCCTCCACCCCATTCTCATCACTATCAGCTGGCTTAGTCTCTACAGCTGAACGCCAACTCCCATCCCTCCAACTCTTCCACCTCTTGTCAAGACTTAGATCACCCACGATTCCATGGTATCACCAGATTGCCAATCCCCGCCACCAGAAAACCCCTCAAAAGTGTTGGTTGAGTACACACATTCCGAATCTCCTGTACCTTGATCCAATCCAATGGTTCCTCTTCATCCCCACTACTCCCAGACCCATCATTCCCAGAAAAACCCATGAAATTCTCTTCCTCTGTGGGAGCAGTAAGTATGCCCCGGATCTTCTTTCTCTGGCGCTCCTCGTCTGACTCCTGCTCTCAAGTAATCCTCTTAATGCCTCCATTCCCATCTGAATCTCCTTCCTCCTCCTCACTCATTTCACTCTCGGAGAAACCTTTAAAAGATTCTTCATCAGTGGGTGACATAAGTATCTCCTGGATTCTCTTCCTTTGCTGCTCCTCATCTAACACCTGGGCGCCTCGTTTCCCTCCTCTACCACTCCTACTACCAGTTGCAGCGTTTCCAACAGACTCTGCTACAATATGTGATTGGCATAGTGTTTGGGTTTGAAATAATGCTTGCTTGAGAAGTGGATGCATAGCTCATTACAGATGACAATCTCTTCTCTTTCTTGTTTTTTTCGCCGTTTCCAGGGCTGATTTGCCGTGCCCTCCCTCGGGGCAGCCCTCATGCAGACCTCAAGGAGAGGACTGTGCTCTCGGGGTCTATCATGCAAGGTAAGCAAGGATGGTTCAGTCATATTCCAGGATCAGGGTTAGGGTTATTAGGGTGGAGTTATCATGTGTAGTTTTTGCGATGAGGCTAATCGAATAATGAATGCACTTATGCGCTGATATCAATAGAACCTAATTAACCACAAGCAACCATCCAATATAATTTTAGCTCATTCTTGTAGAGTTTTTTCGTGCTGAATTCAGATCTGTGTTTATTTTTTCTCTATCCCGTGTCGTTTTTGCAATGAGGCTAATTGAATAATTAATGCATTTGTGCATTAATACCATTAGAATCTAATTAACCACAAGCGAACAAGTATTTTTCATCCAATAGGATTTTAGCTCATTCTTGTAGAGATTTTTGTGCTGAATTCAGATCTGTGTTTATTTTTTCTCTATCCCGTGTTGTTTTTGCAATGAGGCTAATTGAATAATTAATGCATTTGTGCACTAATACCAATAGAATCTAATTAACCACAAGCAAACAAGTATTTTTCATCTGATATTATTTTAACTCATTCTTGTAGAGTTTTTCGCGCTGAATTCAGATCTGTGTTTATTTTTCCTCTATCACGTGTCATTTTTGCAATGAGGCTAATTGAATAATTAATGCATTTGCGCACTAATACCAATAGAATCAAATTAACCACAAGCGAACAAGTATTTTTCATCAGATATGATTATAGATCATTCTTATAGAGTTTTTTGTTCTGAATTCAGATTTGGGTTTATTTTTTCTCTATCACGTGTCGTTTTTGCAATGAGGCTAATTGAATAATTAATGCATTTGCTCACTGATATCAATAGAATCTAATTAACCACAAGTGAACAAGTATTTTACATCCGATATGATTTCAGCTCATTCTTGTAGAGTTTTTCGCGCTGAATTCAGATCTGTGTTTATTTTTTCTCTATCGCGTGTTGTTTTTGCGATGAGGCTAATCGAATAATTAATGCACGTACTCGCTAATATCAATAGAATCTAATTAACCTCAAGCAAACAAGTATTTTTCATCAGATATGACTATAGATCATTCTTATAGAGTTTTTTGTGCTGAATTCAGATCTGTATTAATTTTTTTCTCTAGCACGTGTGGTTTCTGTGATGGGGGTAATTGAATAATTAATGCTTCTTCGACATGGTTCCTGTGAAATGATCACATATGGGTCTCCTGCACTACACGTAATAGAGAAAAATAAACACAGATCTGAATTCAGCCCAAATAACTCTATATGCATGATCTAAAATAATATCTGATGAAAAATACTTGTTGGCTTGTGTAATTTATGTCTGGCCCTTAAAATTAGGTATTTGGAAAAAGTGACTTTCTTTTCAAATGCTCAATTGGGTATTTGAAACGGAAGTCACTCCCAGGGTGGCTCTTGGACTGGTCATGGAACAGCTGCCCCAGGATCTCACTGACGCCCCTTTCCCTCGGCCCAGGCACCCCGCGAGCAACGCCCGAGAGCTACGAGGAGGGGCTGAAGTACCCCAAGATCAAGCGGGAGTCTCCTCCAACACGGAGCTTTGAGGGCGCCATCTCCAAGGGGAAGCCCTATGAGGGGGTCACCACCATCAAGGAGATGGGCCGTTCCATCCATGAGATCCCCCGACAGGACCTACTGGGCCAGGAGAGCCGGAAGACACCCGACATCGTCCCCGGCACGCGGCCCATCATCGAGGGCTCCATCTCCCAGGTAGGCAGGCCTATGCTGGCACAGAAAAACTCAACAGCTCTCTCTCTATATATGTCCAGATCTGTAGCTTTTCGGCGAAATAATTACCTCACAAACAAAGTTGGAAGGCTTTAATTCAAAAGCATGCATTAGGGAATGCAACAAAATTCCAACTGCCAGTTTATTTCCCTCATGTCTCCTATCCTTCATGCTGTCATTTCCATGGCAACCTTTGGCCTTGTTTCAAATATACACAGATCTAAGATATGGCCTAATTTCCTGGCTTGACACAAAACCAGGAAATAAGATCTTGACAATATATGCCAGTATTGACTCGAGATTCATGCGCCATTAAATCTTATGCAAACTCTGATTTTGGTTATTCGGCCAAAAAAAGATTTGCATAAATAGGGTAAGGTTCATGATGATTGTGTGTTTTGGCTGTGTCCTGAGGAGAGGAGAGGCAGATAACAAATGCTATTATTATTATTATTATTATTATTATTATTATTTATTAGATACACAACAAGATTAGTGCACAGCAAACAAGATCACTCTGCTGGCTGTTGTATTGGATCACACGTCGGACACTTCCCAAGTGTCTAGGACTGTGTGATGTATCGACAAATAATGCATGCAGATCCGAATAGGGTGGCCTTTTACAGCTGGCAGATGGTGATTTTTTTCAGCGCCGATTGTTTTTAAGTGCGGGCCAAGGTCTTTAGGCACTGCACCTAGTATGCCGATCACCACTGGGACCACCTTCACTGACTTGTGCCAGAGTCTTTGCAGTTTCAAGTTTCTTCTTGTCAATTCTGCTGTCACTTGGGATTGCAAGATCAACGATCCATACCTGCCCCCCCCCCTTCATTATTGTGAGGTTAGGTGTATTGTGTTTGAAAACTCCGTCAGTCTGAATTCGGAAGTCCCAGAGTAATGTTAATTCTTTAGACCATAGATCTTTCACAAACAGGACAAACAAATGCATACATAAAAATCAGATTATTAAATCTATATATATTAAAATGCTCTGTGCATAATGAGTACCTTAAAAACAAAAGAACCATTCAACGAAATCACACCAAATTTGGCAGCAAAACGTCTCACAACACAAGGAGTGACCATCACTCAAAAAATTATGATTTTGTCATTTGGGAGTTGTAGTGGCTGGGATTTATAGTTCACTTATAATCAAAGAGCATTCGGAACTCCATCAACAATGGAATTGAACCAAACTTGGCAAACAGAACTTTCATGACTAAAAGAAAACAGTAGAAGGGTTTGGTGGGCATTGACCTTGAGTTTTGGAGTTGTAGTTCACCTGCATCTAGAGAGCACTGTGGACTCAAATAATGATGGATCTGGACCAAACTTGGTACAAATACTCCATATGCCCAAATATAAACACAGATGGAAGTTTGGGGGAAATAGACCTTGACATTTGGGATTAGTAGTTGCTGGGATTTATAGTTCACCTACAATCAAAGAGCATTCTGAACTCCACCAACTACTGCATTGGGGCAAACTTCCCACACAGAACTCCCAAGACCAACAGAAAATACTTAAGGCCATCCAGTCCAACTCCCTTCATCAGGGCAAGAAAACGTAAACAAATACTGGTTTACCTACAAGCATAAAGAAATTACATATATTAGAAACCAACACTTTCTCATTACTTTATTTTCCAGATCACCAGACTGGGCCACAGCAACGCGTGGCAGGGGATAGCTAGTGCAGTATGAAATACAAAACTAAAATACTACCTAAACCATTAAAATGCTACGTAAATAATTGGCGACATGCACCCCTAAAATATTTTTGTAGCTATGATACGGACTCCTTATGATATAGAAATACTTTCAAAACTGTCCCCCTCCCTCCAATTTAGTAATGAGCGTTGAAACTTTTTTCATTGACTGCACAGACCTAAAAAGTAGCGATAAGTAATCCTCCTTCCTATTTTTCCAGGGGACACCTATCAAGTACGAGAGCGGCCCTGCTCCGTCCGCCATCAAGCACAATGTCAAGTCGCTGATCACGGGCCCCAGCAAGCTGTCCCGCGGGATGCCGCCGCTGGAGATGGTGGCAGAGAGCGCCAAGGCGGCAGAGCAGCGCGGGAAGTACGAGGAGGCGAAGGTGGCGGCCGGTGGAGGGGAGGTGCGCCCCCGCCACACCTCGGTGGTCAGTGCAGGCCCCTCCGTCCTGCGCTCCACTCTGCATGAGGCGCCTAAGGCCCAGCTCAGCCCTGGGATCTACGAGGACGGCAGTGCCCGGAGGACCCCTGTCGGCTACCAGAGCCTGTCCAGGAGCTCCCCCATGATGAACCGGGGGCCAGAAGGTGCGTTGTGCTACAATGGGGGCACAGTTCGGACGATATCCCGCCACAGTCTCCCCCCACAATACCTTATTTCCTCTCTATATCCCAACCCCAAGTGATGATCGGAAGTGGCATTTCCACCCAGCCTTTGGACTCCAATATGGAGGAACTAGGATTGTTACAGGATGTAACAAAATTTGAAAAAAAAATCTGTTCCTAATTTGAAAGGTTCATTTCTTGTTTCATTGCGCAGTCCTTACTTTGAAAGTAGTTGTTCTGCTCCAGAAACTTTGTTTTTGTGACTGTCATTTATAATTTTTCTTATTTACTAATTTATTTACTACATTTATAAGTAGTAAAATTGGTATGACAGGGACAAATAGAAAATGATGTTTTTAACCCAGGAACAAAAACCATGGGTTATATAGTTGTTGCTGTTGTTATTATTACATTGCTTGAGACTCTGTCCATATTTTCAGATCACAAGAAGGAAACATTGTGGCAAACCTTTGCATTTTATGTGAACGATCTCTGCATACGCTCCTCCTGTCTATATCCCTTTCCCCCCGTTTTATCAGTTCAGTGAAACAGATTTAGGCAAAGGGGCCGTTTTGCTCACTTCCGGCCCAAGGCGGGCTTTGAAGTTGGGCTTTGTGGTGTTGGTCTTGAAAAGAAACTCGATCTAAAGGAGGCTTACCTCCTGCTAACCATCCTTCCTGTTTTGCCACATGTTCAGGGAAGTCGGCGAATCACGAGAGGAAGTCCACCCTGACGCCGACGCAGCGGGAAAGCATCCCGTCCAAGTCGCCAGTCCCCGGGGTGGATCCAGTAGTGACCCATGGACCCTTTGACCCCCACCATCGGGGGGCCACGCCAGACGTCTACCGAAGCCACCTCCCCTCTCACCTGGACCCGGCCATGCAGTTCCACAGGGCTCTGGATCCTGGTAAGCGGCGAGGCATTCCACTCAGTGAGAACAATGTTGATTGTTATGATAATACACTGTTCCCTCCCTTATTTTGGGGGATACGTTTCTGGACCACCTGTGATAAGTGAAAAATTGCAAAATAGGGACGCCCCCTCCCCTCCTCAACTTCTTTACCTTCATCTTCCTCCTCCTTGTTGCCGCCTAGGCCTCTTGCCTCCTCTTGGCGGAAGTCTCGTGAGGCCCAAGCAGTGGCAAGAGGCCCCGGCGGTGATCATGAGGAGGAAAAGGAAGGAGGAAGGGCCACCCCCTCCCCCTTGCCCTCTTTACCTTCCTCCTCCTGGTTGCCGCTGGGGCATAGTGTTCCTAAAGTTCTGATGGTGAAAATTTGAGAACTCGAACAAAATAATCATTATTTCAATTAGTTCAGCTCGGAAATGTGGACACGATTGTTGGAGAAGTGAGGGCAACCCCCTGCATCCTGGACCCCTGCCCATCCTGGCTAGTAAAGGAGGCCAGAGATGGTTTGGCAGAGTGGGTGAAGGTGGTGGTTAATCCTCCTTGCGGAAGGGTAGGATTCCTGCCAGCTTAAAAGAAGCTGTAATAAAACGGCTGTTAAAGAAACCATCACTGGACCCCACTCAATTGAACAACTTTCAACCAATCTCCACTTTTTGAGCAAAATCGTGGAACCTGTGGTGGCCTTACAACTCCACGTGTTCTTGGAGGAAACTGATCCGGCGCCGTCGGGCTTTAGACTGGGACAGAAGCTTGATATATGTGTGATAACGATGATCATAGCTGGAGATATTCTCCAGACATCGTCATCACTATCATCTTCATCATTTTAATGCCTGACCAAATAGAATTAGTGGGCGTGAAAAAGTGAGAATTGAGATTTCTGGGGGAAGTGTCCAGAGTGGCAGTGCTTCCTTTTGACGAAGTTCTGTTCTTGCACGGACACCTCTTAGAACCCAATGTACTCTTCTTATGAGAAAAGGGAAGTCTGCTCATGTCTAGCTGCATCTCGGGGTTTCTTTTGAAACATTGGATCCCTTCACTAGAAACGTTCAAAAAGAACCTTAAAACCTGGCTCTTCCGCTGCGCCTTTGGTGAGTAGGTGTACACCATGACATTTTGCACCCCTCAACATTTTTTGTTACTGGAGCTCACGCCCTCCAAATGGGAAGTTGGCCTCACAACTCTGTGTGTTTCATGATTTCCCTGTAAATATCCTGCTCCTATTTTATCTCATAATTGTCTTGTTCTTTACATGTGGCCCGCCCATTGTTATTGTTACTGTGAATATGTTATTTTATGATTGCTTTTTTTCTTATGTAATTTTGATGATGTTGTTGTTGTTTGTTGTTTATGCTTTGATTTTTATTGCTGCAATACGTTGTCCGGGCTTGGCCCCATGTAAGCCGCTCCGAGTCCCCACTGGGGAGATGGTGGCGGGGTATAAATAAAGCTTATTATTATTCCAGGGTGTCAATGCAGGGCTTGAGAGGTCGTCTTCCTCTGTATTTGGGCCATTGCCCTGACTCACGTTCTTCCTTTCTCCTCTTTTCTCTCTCTCTGCCAGCCACGGCCTACATGTTCCAGCGGCAGCTGTCCCCGACGCCGGGCTACCCAAGCCAGTACCAGCTCTACGCCATGGAGAACACGCGGCAGACCATCTTCAACGACTACATCACCTCTCAGCAGATGCAGGTCAACCTGCGCCCCGACTTGGCCCGGGGCCTCTCCCCACGAGAGCAAGCGCTGGGCCTGCCCTACGCCGGAACCAGAGGTGAGAATGGGGCCTCCAGACCCCTAGAAATAGCTGCCTTTGTAGAGAGACCCTGTCGTGAACCTTAAAGATGTTCCTTATGTCAGCGCGGAGAGATGGCGAGTGGACAGGCTCTGCATTCCTCATAGATCTGCCACACTTTTCCAAGAGAAAAATGTCTCTTTATGTAGCAGATTTTCTGGTTGTTTTCCATGGATTGATTGGAAAATATTTTATTCTATTTATTCTATTTATTATTCATTATTAGATTATTGATTATTATTGATTGATTGACTTGTTATTCAGCTAAAATTCACTAACATTAATTCGGGACAGATGTTGTTCTTCCTTAACAAATGTTGGTTTCCCTCCTTAATGTAAGGCGCATTGTGTTTGACTTCCTTAACTTAAAGACCCAATAGTCTCTGGTCATGTAAACATGTTGTTCCCTCTCGTGGTCCCTGTGAATTGTACATGTGGTAATTTCTGCGCCTGTGCAGAGCAACTTCGGAACCTTCTAGAAAGACAAATAACATATTTGATGGTAGCCCCGCCCACTCCCCCAATAGTATAAGTAGCCAGTGGAAGGGCTACAGCCTCCAGTTCTCTTCATCCACTGCCTGAGCAGCACATGAGAACCTTCACTCTGACTAGCTTGGTTTGTCAACAGTTCAGTCGTTTTCCTTTCATCTCCTCCGCAATGTCATTTTAGGCCTCAATCTTCTTAGGATGGGATCTTCAGTTTTGACGAGCCTTCATAGGGCCCAGTCATACACCAATTATCCAATTTCACTCTCAATTATTCAACCAGGGATCATTGACTTGAACAGCATGGCTCCCACTATCCTGGTGCCCCACCCAGGGGGGCCCAGCACCCCTCCCATGGAGAGGATCACCTACATCCCCAGCACTCCGCTGGCATTCCCCACCAGACCCTACAACCCGCCCTCCATGTCCCCAGGTAAGAAGAGTTCTGCACTTCCTCCCCGCAATTGGGGCCCCTTTCGAGCCAGTTTGGGGGGGCTGGGGGCGCTGTAATACTCTGGTGAGGCTCTCCTTGGCCAGTAGTCCAGTCCCATAGGAGTTGGTGTCCGGTGGGCTCTAGGCTTTGGCTTGGATCAGTTTGAACAAAAGTGATTTGTAAACTTCGGTGTTGGTTTTGTTTATTCCTCCAAAAACATTTGTTATTATTTTTATTCGATTATATTTTATTCTATTTATTATTTTATTTATTCTATTTATTATTCTATTCTTACTTTATATTCATTATTATTATTAGATTATTATTATATTTCCTATTATTATTCCATATATTTCATACATTCATTATTTTAATGAGATTGTGTTTTATTCTATTTATTCTATTTATTATTCTATTCTTACTTTACATTCATTATTATTATTTCCTATTACTATTCTGGGGCCAGAATAAAGAAGGGGAGCCAGGAGGACGTTGCCATCTTGTCCCCTGTGACATCAGCGCCCCTCCCCCAACACCAACGGCCACTCTGGGGCCAGAATTGTTTTTATACCATGTCTTGAATTTTGTTGTTCCTATGTTGTAAACCGCTGTGAGTCGCCCCTGGGCTGAGAACAGCGGTATATAAGCAAAGTAAATAAAATATATATTACATACATTCATTATTTTAATGAGATTATATTTTATTCTATTTATTCTATTATTCTATTCTTACATTACATTCATTATTATTATTTTTATTATTAGATCATTATTGTATGTCCTATTACTATTCTATATATTACATACATTCATTATTTTTATTAGATTATATTTTATTCTGTTTATTATTCTATTTATTATTATTTTATTCTTACTTTACATTCGTGCTCTCTTTCCTTTCCTTTTTTTATCATCTTTATCGAGTTTTTCACATAAAAACAAACATTTAACTCTCTTTCCTTTCCCAGGGCACCCTTCCCACTTGGCGGCCTCTGCTGTGGCGAACGCTGAACGGGAGCGGGAGCGAGAAAAGGAACGAGAGCGAGAACGGGAGCGCGAGAGGGAGCGGGAGAGGATCGCCACCGTCCCCTCTGAACTCTACCTTCGTCCCGGTGAGACCTCTCTTCCGGCCCTATTGGAGGACCCATATACGGCCCCTCGTTTGCGCTTCTAACCTCGTTTTCCTTCCTTCTCGTTTCCCAGGAGCCGAGCCACCCGGCCGTCCCTCCAGCCACGGCTACGTCCGCTCGCCCTCCCCTTCGGTGCGCAGCCAAGAGAGCATCATGCAGCAGCGGCCCAGCATTTTCCAAGGCTCCAACGGGACGAGTGTCATCACCCCGCTGGACCCCACTGCCCAGTTGCGCATCATGTATGTTGGTACTTTTCTTTTTCGAAGATCCTCTCTGATAATAATAATAATAATGAATGTAAAGTAAGAATAGAATAATAAATAGAATAAATAATGCTTCCACAATGTTGTCTTGACTAGCCTAGTTTGGAAGCTTTTAAAGATATACTTACCCTTTCTTATGCAAATGTGAGCCTGAACTTGTCCTGACGAACAAAAAATTACACTTAGGTCAGAAATAGTTATTTTATTAATCGTGCCAGAAGCCAATTGAGAATACACTTATAATGTATAGAAACAAAGTTAAAAACTTGGCATTATATTCTATTTCCGTTGACCACTTGGAGTGCCTCTGGTGTGGCTGTGAGAAGATCCTCCATTGTGCACGTGGCAGGGCTCAGCCTGCATTGTAATCGGTGGTCTGTGGTTTGCTCTCCTCCGCACTCACATGTCATGGACTCCACTGTGTGGCCCCATTTCTGAAGGTTAGCTCTGAATCTCATGGTGCCAGAGCACAGTCTGTTCAGTGCCTTCCAAGTCGCTCTGTTTTCTGTGTACCCAGGAGGGAATCTCTCATCCGGTCTCAGCCACTGATTGAGGTTCTGGGTTTTAGCCTGCCACTTTTGCACTCTTGCTTGCTGAGGTATTTCTGCGAGTATCTCTGTAGATCTTAGGAAGCCATTTCTTGATTTAAGCTATTGGCATGCTGGCTGATATCCAAACAGAGGATGGGCCAGAGATGTCACTGCCTTGGTCCTTGCATTATTAGCTGCTGCTTTCCAGCAGATGTCAGGTGGTGCAGTACCAGCTAAACTGTATAGTTTCTTCAGTAGTTTCTGTTCAGCCATTTCAAAGCTTCCTTCTTGGACAGTGATGGCACGATCGTCAGCATAGATGAAACTGAGATAGATTAGGAATCAGCTGGTTTTCCCTGTAATAGGCAGTAAGAGCACCTAAAGCTTCAGAGATGGCACGACCTAAAAGAATTCCCCATCTTGAGTGACTGTGGAGCAGAACAGACAACTCCGCATCTGTATGCTTGTCCACTATGTCCTGCCTCATGCACAGAGGAAGAAGTTTTGGAGGCTACAGACAATGCTGTTGCTGTTGCGTGTTTTTGGTCAAAAATATTTAGCCGCTTGTGCTCCTTCTATTTTTATCGGTTTTATACTAATTTATGCAATGCTTTTGATACGGAATAAATAAATAAATGACATGATTTCAAAGGAGTCAGGGCAGCAGCAAGCACCATAAAGGCAGGCTCGCAGATCAGGATATTATTATTCTCATTAACCGACAATGCTGTATTTTTTTTTTTTTGTGGTGGTGTGGGGACAACAGGCAGCTTCCTCCTGGCGGCCCCTCCATCACGCAAGGCCTGCCCGCTTCCCGCTACAACACGGCTGCTGACGCTTTGGCTGCCTTGGTGGACGCCGCGGCTTTGGCCCCGCAGATGGAGGTGGGCAAGTCAAAAGACGGGGGGAAGCACGAGGGGAGCCGCATCGAGGAGAACCCGGGCCGCCGGTCGGTGGTGAGCGAGCAGCAGCAGCAGCAAATGGAGCCGAAGGAGTCCGAGAAGCGGACGTACCCCCCCTCGTCCTCATCCTCGTCGTCCTTCTCTGGCAGCAAAGCCCAGGGCCAGTCTTCGTCATCGTCCAGTTACTCAGAGTCTGGGAAGGAGAAAGGCCCGCCTTCCATCTCCAAGTACGAGGAGGAGTTGCGCACCCGGGGGAAGACCACCATCACCGCCGCCAACTTCATCGACGTCATCATCACCCGGCAGATCGCCTCCGACAAGGATGCCCGAGACCGTGGATCCCAGAGCTCTGACTCCTCCAGCAGTCGTACGTCTTTCGCCTTTCTTCCTTATGGAGCTAAACAGCTTTGCTCTCACAGCACCACCTCTCACAACGAACATAAACTGGAGTTTGACACGGTAGCTTTTTACACACAGCAGTTTTTATACTGGAGCTTCATGCATGAAGCTTTACAACCTGGGGCTTTTCTCACCAAAGCTTCTCACACCAGGTCTTCTCACATGGTGAGGCCTTCTCTCACAGATAAGCCTCCCACAGAGACTTATCTCACAGATTAAGGCCTGTCTCACACTGTGAGGCCTACCTCACACAGAGGTGTCTCTCACAGACTAAGGTCTATATCATAATGTGAGGCCTACCTCACACAGAAGTTTCTCTCACAGACTATGGCCTGCTTCACACTGTGAGGCTTACCTCACACAGAGGTTTCTCTCACAGACTAAGGCCTTCTAGAACATGGCCATATAGCTTGAAAAAACCTACAACCACCCACTGAGTTTTCCCTCACAGACTAGGGCCTACTTCACACTGTAAGGTCTACCTCACACAGAGGCTTCTCTCACAGACTAAGGTCTATATCGTACTGTGTGGCCTACCTCACACAGAAGTTTCTCTCACAGACTATGGCCTACTTCACACTGTGAGCCACAAAAACCAAGTTTYGGGAGTCGAACGATTGCACAATAAAACGGGAAATAACACTTTCTTCTTTCTTTCTTTCTTTCTTTCTTTCTTTCTTTCTTTCTTTCTTTCTTTCTTTCTTTCTTTCCCCGGCACAGTTTCCTCTTCCCAACGGTACGAACCGCCCCGAGATGCCATCGAGGTGATCAGCCCTGCCAACTCTCCCGCCCCGCCCCAGGAGAAGATGCCTCCATACCAGCCGGAACCACCCAAAATGGGCCAAGGAGAAAGTAAGGCACACAGCACACTTTCCCAAAGTTTCCGAGGCATCTTATATATGGGCAGTCCCCAAGTCATGACCTATAAAGCCCTAAACGGTTCGGGCCCTGCCTATCTCCGCGATCACATCTCCTTCTATGAACCGGCACGAGCTCTAAGATCTTCCGGGGAGGCCCTCCTCTCGGTCCCACTACCGTCTCAAGCATGGTTCGTGGGGATGAGAGAGAGGGCCTTCTCAGTGGTGGCCCCCCGTATCTGGAATGCCCTTCCAAGGGAAATAAGACAGGCCCCAACCCTCTCCTCCTTTCGTAAGAGCTTGAAGACCTGGTGGTTTCAACAAGCCTTTGAAAATGACCAGTTCTAACTCAGCCCTACACATTTTCGAATACGGCCTTATTTTTCTTACCAATTACCCAGATTCTTTCCTCTAATCGGCCCCGGAATGAATAGCCACAGACCCGTTCCTAATATTATTGTTTCCTGCCATAGTACTGCACTTAATTCCCAAGCCCCATTGAATTTTTGGGCTTGCACAAATCTTAGCCCGGCCTTTTAAATTTTTTAATTGCCTTGAACAGTTAATATATGCATGTTATGGCGACAATTTTTATGCTTATATTTTGTTTGTTAATCTTATGGTTATGTTGTTTTTACTTTGTATGTTTTGTGATGTTACCTGGGAACCACTCTGAGTCCCCTCAGGGAGATGGAGCGGTATAGAAATAAAGTTTTATTATTATTTTTATTGCTACTTAGCTTTAAGTTGGATATCTGTAACTCAGGAGCGGCCTGTATAATGAGCAGAGACTCTTGTCCTGACGTGTCCGTCTCCTATATTGTTGTTCTTCTCTTTCCAGGAGACTGCAGCCGCCAGTACGAAGGATCCATCAATTCGTACCGCTCGCAGCAGGATTCTCCGTCACCGCAACAACCGCCGCCGCCTCCGCCACAACAGCAGCAGCAGCCGCCTCCGCAGCCACCGGGCGAAGGGATGGGTCCAGTCCCTCGCACCCACCGCCTCATCACTCTGGCTGATCACATCTGTGTAGGTGTCCGCTCTTCCGTTTCCCGTGCCTTTATTCGTTACGCATTTAGGGAAGGACTTCCCCAGTCGCCACCCTCCATCGGAAATGTGTGCAGTGGACCGTTTCTTAAATAACAATGTTTGGAAGGGTTCCATTATGACGACCACAGCACCCAGAATCCCCCAGCCAAAGCGATGAGCGTTCCCAGAATCCCCTGGTGAAATAACAAAGTGTTTTAGATTGAGTGTCTCTTATCCCCATCCCAAAATGCTAGAGAATTACCCACATTGTGTGGTTGAGAGTAAAATAATATATAATGCTGTAATGGTTTTTAAGTGGCCACAAGTCAGATTATTATGCAAGTCAAGATCCAAAGGTTGGCTCTTACGGAATTAAGGACGTGGTAGGGGAACAAGTTGTCTTTGCCGCAAGGGTCAGATTATTATGAAAGTCAAGATTGAAAATTCAACTCTTTCAGAATTAATGATGTGGTAGGGGAACATGTTTCCTTTGCGGCAAGGGTGAGATTATTACCAAAGTCACAATCCAAAAGTTGGCTCTTTCGGAATTAATGATGTGGTAGGGGGAAAAGTTGCCTTTGCCACAAGGGTGAGATATTATGAAAGTCAAGATCCAAAAGTTGGCTCTTATGGAATTAATGATGTGGTAGGGGAACAGGTTGCCTTTGCCGCAAGGGTCAGATTATTATGAAAGTCAAGATCCAAAATTCAACTCTTACGGAATTAAGCACGTGGTAGGGGAACAAGTTGCATTTTCCACAAGGGTGAGATTATTATGAAAGTCAAGATCCAAAAGTTGGCTCTTAGGGAATTAAGGACGTGGTAGGGGAACAAACTGCCTTTGCCGCAAGGGTGAGATTATTCTGAAAATCAAGATAGAAAAGTCAGCTCTTATGGAATTAATGACGTGGTTGGGGAACAAGTTGGCTTTGCCGCAAGGGTGTGATTATTATGAAAGTCAAGATCCAGAAGTCCGTCTCTTATGGAATTAATGACGTGGTAGGAGAACAAGTTGCCTTTGCTGCAAGGGTGAGATTATTATGAAAGTCAAGATCCAAAAGTCGGCTCTTACGGAATTAATGATGTGGTGGGGGAACAAGTTGCGTTTGCCGCAAGGGTGAGGTTATTCTGAAAGTCAAGATCCAAAAGTCGTCTCTTATGGAATTAAGGACGTGGTAGGGGAACAAGTTGCCTTTGCCACAAGGGTCAGATTATTATGAAAGTCAACATCCAAAAGTTGACTCTTACGGAATTAATGACGTGGTGGGGGAACAGGTTGTCTTTTCTGCTGAAATCAGATTATGCTCTTGATTGACATATACATGTCCACATTTGCAATCAGCCCTTCCACAGACAGGCCAATGGCTTCGATCTGAGAACCAAGGAATATCATTCTGAAATAAAATGATCTGATCACAGAGAGGGAATATTGTGGTCAGTCGGGGACGTCTCCTCTGCAGTTGCTGCTGCGGCCAATGCCTGACTCCCCCTGGGTTTCTCCTTTCTCTTCGCAGCAAATCATCACGCAGGACTTTGCACGCAACCAAGCCTCCAGCCAGGCAGCCCTGCAGACCCCGGGCAGCACATTCCAGTCCTCGGCCCCATCCTCGGCGCCCCCCTCCGGCCGGACAAAGCCCCCCAGCCGCTACAGCCCTGAGGCCCAGGCCCAGCCAGCCCCCCCGCACCAGCGGCCGGCCTCCAGGGTCTCCCCCGAAAACCTCTCCGACAAAAGCAGGGGAAGGTAAGGCACCCGTCTGAGTGAGATCCCCCTCTCCTCATTGACTACCGTACTAACTTGGGTCCCACCCCGGCAATACCCGGGTTATTCGAAAAAGGCCTTGTTTTGGGGTGTTATCAATGGACCCATTACAAATTGGTGCAGATCCATGGCTGATGGGGTTTGCAGTACTTTCTGTATGAGGGTGAAAGTACTGAAAATCCCATCATTCGTATTCCGTCCTTTCCCAAACTTCAACAGATTGTAAAGTGGGTCATGAGAGGGAGGTCTGTGTCCCACGTTTGGTCCAGATCTATGGCTGATGGGATTATCAGTAGTCTCTGGATGAGAGTGAAGGTACTGCAAATCCCATCATTTGTATTTCATCCTCTTCCAAACCTCACTAGGTTGTATACTGGGTCATGGGGGTTTGTGTCCCAACTTTGGTCCTGATCCATGGATAATGGGGTTTGCAGTTGTCTCTGGAAGTGGGAGCCAATAGGAAGTCTTTTGGAAACATACACACCCACAGACATACAAACAAACATGTAAACATTGACTATTACTATATGTACTAACTTTGGTATTCAGCATCTCCCGGATTATTTAATTTTTTTTATTATTTTACAAAATGCATGAGGTTGTGGGTGAACTACAACTCACATCATGCCAGGTGAACTACAACTCACATCATGCTAGGTTAACCCTGAAAAACTCCCATCAGTGGTTAAAATTTGTCTTGTTGAGTGAGTTTGCTCTAGATGCATTATTGGTAGGGGTTGGTATGCTTTCTGGCTGCAAGGTAAACTACAACTCCCATTATGATGAGTCAGTCCCCTCAAACCCCTGCAGTAGGTTGAGTTAGTCATGGGGGTTCTGTGTGCCAAGTTTGGTCCAGGTCCATCACCGGTGGAGGTCAGTTTCCTTGGTTGTGAGTGAACTACAACTCCCAGAAAGGAAGGCCAGTTCCCACCCCACAACCCCTCCAGTAATCAAATTTCGGCATTATAGGTCTGTGTGCCAAGTTTGGTCCAGATCCATCGCTGTTTGGGTTCACAGTGCTCTCTGGATGTAGGTGAACTACAACTCCCCCAAATCAAGGTGAATTTTCCCCAAAGACCTCCGGTATTTTTTGCTGGTCATGGGGGCTCTGTGTGTCAATTTGGTCTTATTCCATCTTTGATGGAGTTCAGAGTGCAGGTGAACTACAAATCCCAGTCCCTACAACTCCAAAATATCCAGGCCAATTCTCTTCAAACCCCACCAGTATTTAAATTTGTGTATATCAGGTACACATGCCAAGTTTGGTCCAGATCCATCGGTGTTTGGGTTCATAGTGTGCTCTGGATGTAGGTGAACTACAACTCCTCTAAATCCCTCCAAAGACTTCCAGTATTTTTGTGGGTCATGGGGGTTCTGTGTGCCAAGCTTGTTCCAAGTCCATCATTGGTGGTGTCGAGAGTGCTCTTAGACTGCAGGTGAACTATACATCCCAGGTCCTACAACTCCTATAAATCTAGTATGTTCAGCTTCTGACCAAGTCCTCTGTTTGCTGTGTGCCATAGAAAAGCATAGGAAAGGGTTGAGGGAGAGGCAGGAGCGGATTCATGCAAATTCCACACCAATGGAGAGAGTCAGAAACACTGGGATGTCTGTGGTGGAGGAAACACGTAATATCTAGGATGAATTGTCCCCAAATGAAAGCCTTCACTTGTGTGGTGTGCAGTTTGGTGTTGGTGGAGGGCATTGGATATGTTCCCGGCGCTCTCTGTAACCTGCAATGTCACTGGAGGGAACGCCATTGGTGTCTCCTGAGTCGTGGGAGCTATAGTTGCCTTACCCCATATTTTCACCTTCGTAGGCTAGGGAAATCCCCTGAAAGAAGCCATGTCTCCTCCGAGTCGTACGAGCCCATCTCCCCGCCACAGGCCCCCGCCAGTCACGAGAAGCAGGACAACCTTCTGTTGCTGTCGCAGCGATCCGAACCTTCGGAACAGAGGTACATCTCTGTGTGTTTCCATTGTTCATAATTGTCTTTCTTGATGGCACCTGGGAACTGGTCCTGGCCGGTGAAAGCCACGCCCCTTGCGCATAAAAACCATATAATATAATAATATAATATATAATATAATATAATATAATATAATATAATATATATACATATAATATTTATAATATTATAATTTAATACAATATAATACTAGTAATATGATATTATAATTATTAGGCATGTGCAATCTCCATGGTTGTAAATGGTTCTAAAGTACTTACGAAACTAAAGTTCTGGTGGTGAAAACTAGGGGGTGCTCTTACGGAATTAATGACGTGGTAGAGGAACAAGTTGCCTTTTCTGCAAGGGTCAGATTATTCTGAAAGTCAAGATCCAAAAGCCGGCTCTTATGGAATTAAGGACGTGGTAGGGGAACAATTTGACTTTTCCGCAAGGGTGAGATTCTTCTGAAAGTCAAGATCCAAAGGTTGGCTCTTACGGAATTAATGACGTGGTGGGGGAACAAATTTCCTTTTCCGCAAGGTTCAGATTATTCTGAATGTCAAGATGCAAAAGTCGGCTCTTACGGAATTAAGGACGTGGTAGGGGAACAAGTTGCCTTTGCCGCAAGGGTGAGTTTATTATGAAAGTCAAGATCCAAAGGCTGGCTCTTACGGAATTAATGACGTGGTAGGGGAACAAATTTCCTTTTCCGCAAGGGTCAGATTCTTCTGAAAGTCAAGATCCAAAGGTTGGCTTTTTCGGAATTAATGACATGGTAGGGGAACAAGTTGCCTTTGCGGCAAGGGTCAGATTCTTCTGAAAGTCAAGATCAAAGAGTTGGCTCTTATGGTGTTTTGCTTCTACAGTGTTGCTAAAGTTCTGGTGGTGAAAATTTCAGCACTCTAACAAAACTTCCAAAATTTCATTATAAATGGCAGTTCCTAATTGGGTCTGTCATAAAAACCATCAAATAATATATAAATATATAACATTAGTAATTATTAATTAATTATTAATAAATAAATAAATACATAATAAATATATAATAAACAGTAATAACCTAGCTACTTATTGTTCCCTCAACCCTCAATCTATTAACAAGGTGGTGGTATTTGGGAAAAGGCAACAAAAATACAACTGGTCCCTGGATCAGGTCCCTGTTGAGCACCTAAGGGTCTCCTTCTCAAATACAGGGAGATTCGAGCAGCTTACTTCTATGTTAAGGACAGGACGTTTGCATTTGAGTAAACTGAAGTGAGGTGGAGGGTTCTCCCTTGTGGTCTGTGCTTAACATTCTCCCCCAACTCTGTTTTCTCGGAAGGACGGACTCTCGTTCCCCCGGAAGCATGAGCTACCTGCCTTCCTTCTTCACGAAGCTGGAGAGCACCTCGGCCATGGTCAAGTCCAAGAAGCAGGAGATCTTTCGGAAGCTGAACTCCTGCGGCGGAGGCGACTCGGACATGAGTAAGCCCAGCTTCTTTACCTTTTTTCTCCGTCCTTCTTCCCTCTCTCCCTTCCTTCCTCCCATTCCTAATCTAAACTCCTCCCTTCCACATCTCACATTAAGCTTCCTTCCTTCTCCTTTTCCCAAAGTCACCTCCGTCATTTCTTTTCCTTCTCCAAAACTTATCTTCTTTCCTTTCTTCTCCTTCCCTTCTTCTCCCAAATTAATCTCCTTCCATTCTTCTCCTTTTTCTCAAACTCACTTCCTTCCTTTTCCTTCTCCCAAACTCACTTTCTTCTTTTCTTCTCCTTCCTTTCTTCTTCCAAACTCACTTCCTTCCATTCTTCTCCTTTTCACAAACTCACTTCCTTCCTTTCTTTTCCCTCTCCCAAACTCACTTCCTGCCATTCTTCTCCTTCCTTTCTTCTCAAAAATTAATCTTCTTCCTTTCTTCTCCTTTTCCCAAACTCACCTCCTTCCTTTCTTCTTCCAAACTCACTTCCTTCCATTCTTTTCCTTCTCCCAAACTCACTTCCTGCCATTTTCCCTTCCTTTCTTCTCCCAAATTAATGTCCTTTCATTCTTCTCCTTTTCTCAAACTCCCTTTCTTCTCATTCTTTTCTTCTTCCAAACTCACTTCCTTCCTTTCTTTTCCTTCTCCCAAACTCACATCATTCCTTTCTTCTCTTTTTCTCAAACTCACTTCCTTCCTTTTCTTTCTCCCAAACTAACTTCCTTCCTTTCTTCTCTCAAATTAATCTCCTTCCATTATTCTCCCAAACACACCTCCTTTCCCTCTTCTTTTTCTTCTTCCAAATTAATCTTCCTTTCTTCTCCTTTCCCCAAACTCACCTCTTTCCTTTCTTCTCCTTCACCCAAACTAACATCCTTTCTTCTCCTTTCTTTCTTCTCCCAAATTAATATCCTTCCATTCTTCTCCTTTTCTCAAACTCACTTCCTTCCTTTCTTTTCCTTCTCCCGAACTAACTTCCTTTCTTCTCCCAAATTAATCTCCTTCCATTCTTTTCCCAAACTCACCTTTCTTTCTTTTTCTTCTTCCAAATTAATCTTCTTCCTTTCTTCTCCTTTTCCCAAACTCACCTCCTTCCTTTCTTTTCCTTCACCCAAACTAACGTCCTTTCTTCTCCCTTTTTCTTCTCCCAAATTAATCTCTTTCCATTCTTCTCCCAAACTTTTCTCCTTCCTTCCTTTTTTTTCATCTCCCAAATTAATCGCCTTGCAGTCTTCTCCCAAATTCCCCTCCTTCCATTCTTCTCCTTCTCCCAAACTAACATCCTTCCTTTCTTCTCCTTTTCCCAAACTATTTTTCCTTCCTTTTCTTTTTCCTTTCCTTCCTTCCTTCCTTCTTCTCCCAAACTAACCTCAATTTGATTAGGCTCCCCTCCCCATTTGTCTGACTTTTTTTTAAAGAACGAGAGAATGCAGCTCATGTCCATTTCAATGTCCCTCTCATTGGGAATGGATTCCTTAATGCCTATTTATGTTATGTTCCTTTTTTCCTTTCACAGCCGCTGCTCAGCCAGGGACAGAAATATTTAACTTGCCTGCTGTCACGACTTCAGGTAAGAGTTGTTTTGGGATCACCTTAAAGGAATGGCCCTGATCCTTGTGATCTTGGGTCGTGTCATATACAGCCCCAGAGGCCCTGACTGAGAGACAGCCTTAGTATTATTATTATTATTATTATTATTATTATTATTATTATTATTATTATCATTATTATCATTATCATTATCATTAACACAGTATGTCACAGCAAACAAGATCTATATGTTGGATTTCATGTCACAAAATCACAAGTCAAACACTTCCCAAGCGTCWAGGARGGTGTGATGTATTATTATTATTATTATTATTATTATTATTATTATTAGTATTATTATTCTGCCACAAAAACACAGTATGTCACAGCAAACGAGATCTATATGTTGGATTTCGTATCACAAAATCACAAGTTGAACACTTCCCAAGCGTCTAGGACTGTGTGATGATATTATTATTATTATTATTATTATTATTATTATTATATTTATTATATTTATTTACACCCTGCTTTATCTCCCCAAAGGGGACTTCTAGGAAAAATAATAAATTTGGGGATCTTGTGTGCTTGACCAGGTGAAAGGTGTTCGCTCATTGACCAGTTCACCGTTTTCCTCTCTCTCCTCCTCTTCCTGTCTCAATCCACCCACTTCCTGTTTACCGCCCGGCCCTTCCTCGAGGGCCACCCCCCCTTTCCCTCTTTGCCCTCCCAGGACCGGTCAGCGCCCGAGGCCATTCCTTTGCCGACCCGGCCAGCAACTTGGGCCTGGAGGACATCATCCGCAAAGCCCTGATGGGCAACTTTGACGAGAAAGGGGAGGACCACGGCCTGGCTATGGCCCAGCCCTTGGGGCTCCTGCCAGGGGGTGCCAACCCGGCGAGCGGCGGCGAGACCCGCAGGGAGGACGCCAACCCTTCGCCCAACCCGGGTAAGCGGACTTGGGGCCCGGCAAGTGGGCATTTGGAATGGGACTGAAATGGAGGAGCAATTGGAAGAGGGGAAGAAGGGCTGCCCTGGGACCCCTGATGTTGTTGTTTTGGGCCTTCAAGCCATCTTGTAACTTAGGTCAAGCAATGAAGGGTGGTTTTACTTAGTGGGAAGGAATATGTGACGCCCCTCGGGATCCCCAAAATTGTCCATGCTTTGAGTTGTTTCTGGTTTTTTTTTAATTATTATTGTTTCTTTGAGTTCTTCCTGGCATCAGGGATCTTTTCCCCTCTCCCTAACTTCCTTCTTTCCTTCCATTTCTTCTCCTCCCAAATCAGCCTTCTTTCACCCTCTTCCTTCCTTCCTTCCTTCCTCTACTACTCCTTCTCCTCAGTTAACCTTTATTTCTCCCTCTCCCAAACCTCCTTTCCTTCCTTCCTTCCTTCCTCTCCCAAATTTTCTTCCTTCCTTCCTTTTCTTCTTCTCCTACTCCCAAATTAACCTTCTTTCTTTCTCCCTCTCCTAAACCTCCTTTCTTCATTTCTTCTTTCCCTCCTCCTTAACTTCCTTCCTCCCTCCTTCCCTCCCCCCTTTTCCCAAACCTCCTTTCTTCATTCTTTCTTCTATTCCTTCTTAACTTTCCTTCTTTCTTCCTCCCTCCCTCCCAAACATCCTTCATTCTCTCCTCCCTTCTTCCTTCCTTCCTTCTTCCTTCCTTCCTTCCTTCCTTCCTTCCTTCCTTCCTTCCTTCCTTCCTTCCTTCCTTTCTCTCTCCCAAACGGCCTTCTTTCTATTTCTTAACCTTCTGTCTTTCTCTCTCTCTTTTACTCTCCCTAACCTTCTACATTCCTTTTTCTACTCCTCCTTAACCTCCTTCCATCCTTCCTTCCTTTCTCCCTCTCCTAAGCCCCTTTCTTCATTCTGTCTTCTACTCCTTAACCTCCTTCCTTCCTCTCCCAAATTTCCTTTCTTCATTCTTTCTTCTACTCCTTCTTAACCTTCTTCCTTTCTCCCTTTCTCCCTCTCCCAAACCTCCTTCCTTAATTTCTTCTTCTACTCCTCCCAAATTAACTTTCTTTCTTCTTTTCCTCCTTCCTTCTTTTCTCCCAAACCTCCTTCTTTCCTTCCTTCTTCTACTTCTTAACCTTCTGCCTGTCTGTCTTGTCTTTCTTTCTTTCACCCTCTCCCAAACCTCCTTCCTTCTTCTACTCCTTAACCTCCCTCCTTCTTTCTCCCTTTTTCAAACTTCCTTCCTTCTTTCCTTCCTTCCTTCTGTTCCTTCTCCCAAATTAACCTTTCTTTCTCCCTCTCCCATACCCCCTTCTTTCCTTCTTTCTACTCCTTCTCCCAAAGTAACCTCCTTCCTTCCCTCTCCCAAACTTGCTTCCATTCTCTCCTTTCTTCTCCTTCTCCCAAATTCACTCCTTCCTTCCCTCTCCCAAACTTGCTTCTTCCTCTTTCTCCTAAATTAACTTCCTTCTTTAACTTCCTTCAGTTGTTGATCGAACAGGTACCTTTCTCAAGATCATGAGGCTTGGACCCAGAACCTTCTGCAAGACTAGGTCCAATGTCCTCCTAATGATTCCAGCAAGAGGAGGGTGATGCCCAGTTCCTACTGACTCTTTCTTTCTTTCTTTCTTTCTTTCTTTCTTTCTTTCTTTCTTTCTTTCTTTCTTTCTTTCTGCCTTCCCTTCCAGGTGGGGGAGTTGGCAAGCAGAAGCTGATGGGCAAGTCGGGCAGCCGGAAGTCCAAGTCCCCTCTCCCAGGGCAGGGCTACCTAGGGGCGGAACGTCCCTCGTCGGTTTCCTCGGTGCACTCGGAGGGCGACTACCACCGGCAGACCCCGGTGTGGTCCTGGGAGGACCGGCCCTCCTCCACAGGTCAGCCGAGCCAGGCGGCCAGCGGGGAGAGCAACTTGAAAGCAGGTTCTTCCCCACCATTTGCTCCGTCGCACCGATATGCCTCCCTCCACCCGCTCGTCCCATGTCCCGGGCCCGCAAGTCCAGGGACAGCTCTGTTCAGGGATCCTGCAGGTTTCTTTTGAGTTCTCTCTGGTATCAGGGATCTGAATCCAAGACCAGATTCAGTCTTGGAAGCGCCGGGGTGGGGAAGCTCTCGCATTTGGACATATCTACTCCAGCACGACCATATGTCTACACTTTCAACAATCATCCCTCGGAATGCTTGTTGTATGTTCTCTACTGTGTCCTTCAAGCCTGGGGATTAGAGTTCTTGCCCTACAGACTTGGGAGTCCAAAGTTCTTGACTGTATCCTCCAAGCCTGGAGATCAGAGATCCTGTCCTTCAAACTTGGAGCCTAGAGTTCTTGACGGTGTCCTCCAAGTCTGTAGACCGGAGTCCTCGCCCTTCCGGCTTGGAAATCCAGGGTGCTTGGCTGTGTCCTCCAAACCTGGAATCCAGGGTTCTTGCCCTTCGAACTTGGAAATCCAGGATTTTCGACTGTGTCTACCAAGCTTGGATATCAGAGTTCTTATCCTCCAGATTTGGGAATCCAGAGTTTTTGAGTGTATCCTCCAAGCCTGTAGACCAGCATTCTTGTTCTCCAGACATGGGAGTCCAGGATTCTTGACTATGTCGTCCAAGTCTGAATATCAGTTATCTTTCAAAAATGGAGTCCAGTGTCTTTCACTGTCTCCTCCGTATTTGAGAGTCCAGGGTTCTAGATTGTGTCCACCACATGTGTAGATCGTAGTTTTTGTCCCCCAGACTTGGGAGATTAGGATTTTGGACTGTATTCTCCAAGGCTGTAGATCAGATATCCTGTTCTTTGAACTTGGAAGTCCAGGATTCTAGTCTATGTTCTCCAAGCCTATCAAAGATCCTGCCCTCCAGATTTGGAAATCCAGTGTCCTTGACTGTGCCCTCCAAACCTGAAAATCAGTTCTTGTTCTCAAGGCCTTGGAGTCCAGTGTCTTTTACTGTCTCCTTCAAATTTGGAAGTCCAGAGTTCTTGACTGTGTTCTCCAAGCCTGGAATTCTGAAATCCTGTCCTTCGAACTTGAAATCCAGGTGGGGGAGTTGGCAAGTGTCCTTGACTGTGTCCTCCAAGCCTGGAGATCAGAGTTTTTGCCCTCCAGATTTGGGAGTCCAGGGTTCTTGACTAGGTCTTCCAAGTCTGAAGATCAGTTATCTTACAACCATGGAGTCCAGTGTTTTTCACTGTCTCCTCCAAACTTGGGAGTCCAGAGTTTTTGGCTGTGTCCTCCAAGCCTAGAAGTCAGAGGTACTTCCTTCGAACTTGGGAGTCCAGTGTCCTTGACTGTCCTCCAAGCCTGGAGATCAAAGTTTTTCCCCTCCAGATTTAGGAGTCCAGGGTTCTTGACTAGGTCTTCCAAGTCTGAAGATCAGTTAGCATTCAAACATGGAGTCCAGTGTCTTTGACTGTTTCCTCCAAACTTGGGAGTCCAGAGTTCTTGGCTGTGTCCTCCAAGCCTGGAAGTCAGAGATCCTGTCCTTCGAACTTGGGAGTCCAGTGTTCTTGACTGTCCTACAAGCTGGGAGATCAGAGTTTTTGCCCTCCAAATTTAGGCGTCCAGGGTTCTTGACTAGGTCTTCCAAGTCTGAAGATAGTTATCTTTCAAACATGAAGTCCAGTATCTTTGACTGTCACCTCCAAACTTGGGAGTCTAGAGTTCTTGACTGTGTCCTCCAAGCCTGGAGATCAGAGTTTTTGCCCTCCAGATTTGGGAGTCCAGGGTTCTTGACTAGGTCTTCCAAGTATGAAATCAGTTATCTTTCAAACATGGAGTCCAGTATCTTTGACTGTCACCTCCAAACTTGGGAGTCCAGAGTTCTTGGCTGTGTCCTCCAAGCCTGGATATCAGATCCTGTCCTTCGAATTTTGGGAAGTCCAGGGTTCTAGACTAGATCAGAGATCAGACATGGAGCCCAAGGTTCTTGGTGGCACCCCAGCCCTTCTGTTCTGGGACCCTGTGGGCCGAGGGAGAAGTTTTCACCCGTGTCTCTTTCTCTTTCCCAAACCCTAACAGGATCCACCCAGTTCCCGTACAACCCCCTGACGATGCGCATGCTGAGCAGCACCCCTCCGACGTCCATCACCTGCACCCCGTCGGCACCCGGACAGGTGCCCCCCCACCAGCCGAACCGGATTTGGGAGCGGGAGCCAGCCCCGCTCCTCTCGGCCCAGTATGAGACCCTTTCGGACAGTGACGACTGAACCCGGGGCCAAAGTCGGGGTGTGAGTGTGAGTGAGAGCTGGGGAGGCCCTTCTCCATGCGCCGCGCCCCCGAAGACGGTCCTGGGTTGTCCAGAGATGGCGTTATTTCTGGAACTTGGAAATATTATTGTGTTTTCCCCAGTCGGGTTGTGCAAAGACTCCTTTCTATGCAAACCGCCAGGATTGGGGGAGAACTGAAAAATATGTAAAGAGGTGTTTTGTTTTTGTTTGTTTGTTTTTTTTTTAAAGAGGACATATTACTGAGCAACATCTTTATTTGTAAAGAGAACCTGAACCTAATAAGGAAACCAAGAGAGAGAGAGAAAGCGCCCATTTCCCCCCTGTGTAAATAGAGTAACCTTTTCCCTGCAAAAACCGCGCATCGGTAGAGCATTCTGGTGTACTTATGTCAAAATCACTGCATACAACTCGTTGGGGTAATTTTATAATTTTTTTAACAGATTTTTTTCCTTCTCAATGTTCATTATTTTTCAGGCGTCGCCCGGCCTGAGCATCTCAAAACAAACGAGAGATGGCGCTTGCTTACTCGTTTCCGTCGAGACGTTCAGGCCGGACGACGCCACTCGGCACATAACAACCTCCTCGTCCGTTCGGCTGTATATTGCTACGTTTTCCGCCCTAAACGCATACCTTTTTTTTCCTGTGGTGACAAAATACATTGTGGAGATTTTATTATTAATTCCGAAGCCGACCCCGTCTTGAATGCTGTACATTTTGTTTTGTTTTGTTTTTTTTAAATAGGAAAACAAAATATAACTTGGTTTTCGCCGGGATATACAAACGCTATTCTCTCCTCCGTACCGCCGTACATTCCCCAAACTGTGAAACATTGGCCTGGGGACGTAATTGTGACACCTTTCTCTCTCCGCATACACACAAACCCTCGCTTCCGAGATTGCTGTTCTTACATTTTATCTCTTTGACAGGCGCTTGTAACTAAATCGTTTTCCAGAACCAAACGAGGCTGGAGTCTGTTCTTCATGGTGTTCCTTGGTTTGGAAAAACGTTCCCGCCACTGGAATGTTTTCCCACTTGTTTCCCAGTATTGTTTCTAGTTCTCTTCTTGTCTGCTTTCACTATGACAAAGAGGAACACATACACTAATAATAATAATAACCTACTTTTATGAATGGAAGGGCTCATCTAGGGTGATAGAATTACTGAATTGGAAGGGACCCCAAGGGCCATCCAGTCCAACCCTATGTCTGTCTATCTGACTATCCACATAGAGTCTCTCTTATCCGACATAAACGACCTAGCAGAGCGTCGGATCAACCAAAATGTCAGATAATACGGAGTCTCCTACTTTTATGAATGGAAAGTCTCATCTAGGGTGATAGAATTACTGAGTTAGAAGGGACCCCAAGGACCATCCAGTCCAACCCTATGTCTGTCTGACTATCCATACAGAGTAGAGTCTCTCTTATCTGACATAAATGACCCGGCAGAACGTCGGATCAACAGAAATGTCGGATAATATGGAGTCTCTGACTGTTATGAATGGAAGGGCTCATCTCGGATAATAGAATCACTGACTTGGAAGGGACTCCTATGGCCATCCAGTTCAACCCTATGTCTGTCTGTCTGACTATCCACATTAATTAAACCTTTATTTGTACCCCGCTACTATCTCCCAAAGGACTCGGTGTGGCTTACAAGAAGCTGAGCCCAAATACAATAGTAAAAACAACAGCAACAACAAACAGCAAAATAACTCAAAAAACAAAGCAATAACATTAACAACACACAGTTAAAATCAATGGCAGGGCCAAATGTAATAATTAAAATTAAAAGTGCTGGGCATGACCAGGTGGCGTGTTTAGAGGGGGATGGGCATGCAGATATCCTGGATCTCTGATAAAGTGCGTTGGGACATAGTGCTAGGAGTTTCTTTATTCTGGAAAGGCACACTGGAACAGCCACGTTTTCAAGCTCCTCCTAAAGATTCCTAGCGACGGGGCCTGCCTGATGTCCTTAGGGAGAGAATTCCAGAGTCAAGGGGCCACCACTGAGAAAGCCCTATCCCTCGTCCCCACCAATCGCGCTTACGATGCAGGTGGGATCGTGAGCAGGGCCACTCCAGATGAACGAAGAGATCGTGTGGGTTCATACACAGAGATGCGGTCACGCAGGTAGGCGGGTCCCAAACCGTTTAAGGCTTTGTAGGTAAGCACCTGCAACTTGAATTGGGACTGGAAAATGAATGGCAACCAGTGGAGCTCCTTAAACAGGAGGGTTGACCTCTCCCTGTAAGGAGCACCAGTTAACAACCTGGCCACCGCCCGTTGGACCAATTGAAATTTCCGGGCCGTTTTCAAGGGCAGCCCCACGTAGAGCGCATTACAGTAATCCAATCTGGAAGTGATTAAGGTGTGGACCACCCTGGCCAGATCCGCCTTCACGAGGTAAGGTCGCAGTTGGCGCACGAGTCTCAATTGTGCAAAGGCCCTCCCGGCCACCGCCGATGCCTGAGCTTCAAGCGACAGTGATGAGTCCAGCAGGACACCCAAACTGCAGACCTGTGACTTCAGGGGGAGTGTAACCCCATCCAGCACAGGTTGCCACCCTATACCCCGATTGACCAGGAGGACCTCTGTCTTGTCGGGATTTATCTTCAGCTTGTTCTTCCTCATCCAGACAGCCATAGCTGTCAGACACTTGTCCAGCACCCGAGGGGCTTCCTTGGAGTTTGGTGGAAAATAGTAGACTCTCTCTTATCCGACATAAACAACCCAGCAGAAAGTCGGATCAATGGAAATGTCAGATAATATGGAGTCTCCTACTGTTATGAATGGAAGGGCTTATCTTGGATAATAGAATCACTGACTTGGAAGGGACCCCAAGGGCCAACGCTATGCCTATCTGACCCTATGTCTGTCTATCTGACTGTTCACATAGAGTAGCGTCTCTCTTATCCGACATAAACGACCCAGCGGAACGTCGGATCAACAAAAATGTCAGATAATACAGTTTCCTACTTTTACGAATGGAAGGTCTCATCTAGGATAATAGAATCACTGAGTTGGAAAGGACCCCAAGGGCCATCCAGTCCAACCCTATGTCTGTCTGGCTGACTATCTATCCACATAGTTTCGCTTATCCGACATAAACGACCCGGCAGAACGTCGGATCAATGGAAATATCAGATAATATGGAGTCTCCTGCTGTTATGAATGGAAGGGCTCATCTTGGATAATAGAATCACTGTGTTGGAAGGGACTGCAAGGGCCAACCCTATGTCAGTCTTTCTGACTATCCACATACAGTAGAGTCTCGCTTATCTGACATAAATGAGCCGGCTGAATGTTGGATAAACAGAAATGTCGGATAATACAGAGTTTTCTACTGTTATGATTGGAAGGGCTCATCTAGGATAATAGAATCACTGCGTTAGAAGGGACCCCAAGGGTCATCCAATCCAACTCTATGTCTCACTATTCACATACCGTAGAGTTCCATTTGTTCTGTTTTTCTACGTGGAGTAGTCTTGTCGATAGATTTCTCCGATCGTGTTGCTGCCACGTCTGCAGGGTGTGCCCTTTTATCTTCCCGCCGAGGCAGTGCCTATCGATCTACTCTCATTACATGCTTTTGAACTGCTAGGTAGGCAGACGCTAGGGCTGACAGCCAGGAGCTCACCCCGATTACTAGCTTTGAACTGCTAACTCTCTGGTCAGCAGATTTCCTGGAGCTAGTTTAACCCACTGTGGTACCATTGCCCATATACACAATCCGCCGCAAGTACATTCACTGGTATCTCCCAAAACTTTTCTATTTGTTTTGCTTTTGCAGCACTCTTAAATTCAGATCCTAGTATGATATGAATCTTAACCTTTATAACCTCATTTTTTCATTGAGTCTCATATATCTGATTGTGAAAAGAGCAAAACGGCGCTTCTATGGTCAGTGACTTCCTATGAACACTTGCAGCATTCCTTGATCCAACCTAGATGTCTCAATGTAGGAATGTCCTTCTCAATGAAAAGTTGCCAAGTGATCAAACTCTTTTAAGGAGCAACTCTGGTTTTATTTGGCGAAATGCTGTCCATTCACAGAAAGGAGCCAGAATCTCTTCCCAGTTGACACTCTCAACTGCGATGTCTACATCTTTTTCTCAAGCTGCCATTTTTTCCCTTTGAAGGAAGGAGGGAGGAAAGAAAAGTGGAGCTCCAGACCTCAATTTCAGAGTTTTTGAACTGCCTTACCTTCGGAGGAAGGAGAGAAGAGTGGAGCTCCAGAGATCTCTATTTCATAATTTTTAAACTGACTTACGTTTGGAGAAAGGAGGAAGGAGAGAAGAGTGGAGCTGAACTCCAGAGATCTCAATTTCATAGTTTTTGAACTGCCTTGTCTTTGGAGAAAGAAGGAAGGAGGGAGGAGAGAAGAATGGAGCTCCAAAGACCTCAATTTTCATAGTTTTTAAACTGACTTACGTTTGGCGAAAGGAGGGGGGAGAGAAGGGAAGAGCTGAACTCCAGAGCTCTCCATTTCATAGTTTTTAAACTGCCTTGCCTTTGGAGAAAGAAGGAAGGAGGGAGGAGAGAAGAATGGAGCTCCAGAGACCTCAATTTTCACAGTTTTTAAACTGACTTACGTTTGGCAAAAGGAGGGGGGAGAGAAGGGAAGAGCTGAGCTCCAGATATCTCCATTTTATAGTTTTTGAACTGCCTTGTCTTTGGAGAAAGGAGGAAGGAGAGAAGAGTGGAGCTCCAGAGACCTCCTTTTCATAGTTTTTAAACTGCCTTGACTTTGGAGGAAGGAGGACAGAAGAGTGGAGCTCTAGAGACCTCTATTCCATAGTTTTTGAACTTCCTTGCCTTTGGAGAAAGAAGGAAGGAGGAAAGAGAGAAGAGTGGAGCTCCAGGGACTTTTCATAGTTTTTAAACTGCCTTGTCTTTGGAGAAAAGAGGGAAGAGGGATAGTCCTTCCTTCCCTCTCTCCCCTCCTCCTTTTTCCGAAGACACGAAGTTCAGAAAAAACTGAAGGGAAAATCTGAGTTCCAGTGATCTCCATTCCAGGTTTTGTAACCTGCCTTAAGGCCTTGGAGGAAGGAGGAAGGAGAGAAGAGTGGAGCTCTCCGGAGAAGGGATATAAAAAGGACAGAAGGTTAAGGGAGCTAAATTTTCTCCAGAAAGAATTACGATTTCCTCTTCTTGATCTCGCACCTCTAAAGCAAGGAAAACAGTCGATATATTGTGTCTTACACAAGTGACCCCCAATCCCCTTGCTGTGCTATGTTACTTGGCGCCCAAACTGTGGCTTTAGTGACACCATGGGTGTAATGAAGAAAATGGCAGATCCCATAAAAAAAGAAATACAACTCAAATTTCTAGAGTTCTAAATCTTTTATTAGCTTATTCTCTCCTGCAGGTAAGTATTTGCTTGGTGCATCCAAACTAGCTGGGTTTCTTTAAAAACATACATATATGCCTGTGATTTGCACAACTTAATATGTCTGGCTGATCTGCGGTACACGTCTGCTTTAGTTCTGGGCAAAACAAGAGGCTTCCTGAAATCTTCCTGCGTTCTCTTCAACTTCCTTTGAGATCTTTGAGATCTATATATATATATAGAGAGAGAGAAACCAAGTGATATTTCCTGCAAATTTCAGACATTTCTCAAGAGTTTCTGCGATGTCCCGATCCTTCTTCCTCCAAAGGTAAGTCACTATAAAAACTATAAAAATGGAGGTCTCTGGAGCTCCACTCTTCTTTCCTTCCCCCTTTGTCCAAAGGCAAGGCAGTTCGAAAACTATGAAATTGAGGTCTCTGGAGCTCCACTCTTCTCTCCTTCCTTTCTCCAAAGGCAAGGCAGTTCAAAAACTATGAAAATTGTGGTCTTTGGAGCTCTACACTTCCTCCTTTCTCCAAAGGTACGTCAGTTCAAAAACTATGAAATTGAGATCTCTGGAACTCAACTCTTCTCTCCTTCCCCCTTTCTCCAAAGGAAAGGAAGTTCAAAAACTATGAAATTGAGGTCTCTGGAGCTCCATTCTTCCTCCTTTTTCCAAAGGCAAGGCAGTTCAAAAACTATGAAAATGGAGGTCTCTGGAGCTCCCCTCTTCTCTCCTTCCTCCTTTCTCCAAAGGTAAGTCAGTTCAAAAACTATGAAAATGGAGGTCTCTGGAGCTCCCCTCTTCTCTCCTTCCTCTAAAAACTATGAAATTGAGGTCTCTGGAGCTCCACTCTTCTCTCCTTCCTCCTTTCTTCAAAGGCAAGGCAGTTTAAAAATTATGAAAATTGAGGTCTCTGGAGCTCCACTCTTCTTTCCTTCTTCCTTTCTACAAAGTGAAAAATGGTAGCTTGAGAATAAGATGTAGAACAAGTGTCCCATTCACTCTCTTCCCGCCTCTTCTCTGCTCTTCTCTTTTGATGACTCCGACCGCCTTTTCCTCCTTTTGGCCAGCTCCAGTAATTCCTTTCTGATGTATTCAGCTGTCACGTCATCTCCACTTTTCTCCGCTTGCTTCAGCGCTTCATGGTAGACTCTTTTGGCTCCGGAATAATCCTCTGTATATGGGAAAGAGACCAGAATATCAACTAGTGGTTGCAAATGACAAGAGAGGAGATCCCACTTAAATATGAGGAGGGAAGTTTTGACCTTGAGCGAGTTACATTCTCTCAGCCTCCACAGAAAACATTTGCAGACTTCTGAATTAATTAAATGACTTGCATACACCCAACATTATCATCATCATCTTTACTTCTGTCAAGCTTTTCATAGGGACTCCAGGCAGGAACAGCCATACCACGTAATAAAAACATAACATTCAAATAGTTAAATAGGAGGAAGGAGGAGGGATATTTCCTTCCTTTGCCTTCTCTTTCTTCCTTCCTTCCTTCCTTCCTTCCTTCCTTCCTTCCTTCCTTCCTTCCTTCCTTCCTTCCTTCCTTTCTTCCTCTGAGGGCAATGCAGTTTAGAAAACTGAAATGGAGCTGTTTTGGAGAAAGGAGGAAGGGAAAATATGCGTTCCAGAGACCTCAATTCCTAAGCCCTGGGAAGAAGGAGAAAGGAGAGAAGAGTGGAGCTCCAGAGATCTTCATTTCATAGTTCTTTAATTTCCTTGCCTTTGAAGGAAGGAAGGAGGGAGGAGAGAAGATCCGGAGCTCCAGAGGCCTCCATTACATAATTTTAAAACTGCCTTGCCTTTGGAGAAAGAAGGAAGATGGGAGGAGAGAAGAGTGGCGCTCCAAAGACCTTCAGATATTTTTTTAAACTGCCTTGCCTTTGAAGGAGGGAGGAGAGAAGAGCAGAGCTCCAGAGACCTTCGTTTCAGTTTTTTTTAACTTCCTTACTTTTGGAGGAAGATGGGAGGAAAGAAGAGTGGCGCTCCAAAGATCTCCATTTTATAGTTTTTTAAACTGCCTTGCCTTTGAAGGAAGGAGGGAGGAGAGAAAAGTGGAGCTCCAGAGAAACTCCATTTCATAATTTTTAAACTGCCTTGCCTTGGAAGGAAGGAAAGAGGAGAGAAGAGCAGAGCTCCATAGGCCTCCATTCATAGTTTACAAACTGCCTTGCCTCTGAGGGAAGTGGGGAGGAGAGAAGAGCCATGCTCCAGAGACCTCTATTCATAGTTTTTTAAAAGCCTTGCCTTTGGAGAAAGAAGAAGGGGAAGCAAGAATAGGAAATCGGCCCCAAACGGTGCTGCGACTATTATGCGATGAACACAAAATTACTAATTTTGTCACTTCCCAAATGGGGCTGCAACTAGTATGCAAGAAACACAAAAATACTAATGTTGCCGCCTCCCAAATGGGGCTGCGACTAGTATGCAAGGAACTTAAAATTATAAATTTTGCCACCTCCCAAATGGGGCTGCATCTATTATGCGAAGAACACAAAATTACTAATTTTGTCATCTCCCAAATGGGGCTGCGACTATTACACGATGAATACAAAATTACTAATTATGTCACCTCCCAAATGGGGCTGCGACTATTACGCGATGAACACAAAATTACTAATTTTGCCACCTCCCAAACAGTGCTGCGACTATTATGTGATGAGCACAACATTACTAATTTCGTCACCTCCCAAATGATGCTGCGACTATTATGCGATGAAAACAACATTACTCATTTTGCCACATCCCAAATGGGATGTGACTATTACGCGATGAAATACAATCTTTCCAACATCCGTTTTAAACGGATTCAAAAGTAACAACATTGAGGAAAGCAGTGTAAGTGTTCCTCCCCATCAAGTGGTATCGATACAGAGCAGGATGTGAATTGTCAAACGCGTTCGTTCACCCTTTAGCTCCTCCCACCCGCCCTTTGGTCCCTTTCTTTCTGACCTTTATGCATCAGGATCCCCGCCAGGTTGTTCAGCACAATGTGGGCCTCGGGGTGTCCGGTCTCTTTGGCCAATTCGGCCGCCCTCTTTGCCTGGACGTAGGCCTCCTCGTAGAGGCCCTGAGAGTCCAAAGCCGTGGCCAAGTCGCTCATCAGGACCACCGTCTGCCGCGAGAAGAAGACAATGTTGTGGTCAGGAGGTCCTTCCTCATGTTCAGGTAGCTACACATTGAAACATGTCTCTCCTGGCGTCCCCCTTGGAGGGGCTGACCTGTGGGTGGGCCTCTCCTTGCTCCTCGGCCGCAATGCGCAAGGCCCGGTTGTACATCTTCTGCGCTGCGGAGGCTCGGCCCCGAGCCAAGAGGAAGCGCGCATAGGAGTCCAGGCTCAGGCCCAGCAGCAGACGCGTGTCCTTCCGCTCTTCCTCTGCAAACAAATGGACAAATAGAGGGTTCCTCCAGGCAACAGAGGCCAGGCTACCTCTATGCAGACACCATCACTGATTAATTTTGCAAACTTCATGGCTACTCAATGCTATTTAAGTGTTTTCTGATTGGCTGCCACTTCCTCAAGCCACTGCGACCTGCACGAGCGACGGACCTGGACCAAACTTGGCACACATAAGCCCCATGATCGACTTTACATCCTGGCATGCTTTGGGGGAGGATGGACCACGAATGATGGGATTTTCAGTATTTTCAATCGCTTCAGCTCCCCCAAACCACAGCAATGCCCACCAATGATGGAACTGGGTCAAATTTGGCACACACTTGACATCCTGGTGTGGTTTGAGGGAGGATGGGCCTGAATGATGGGACTTGCAGTACCTTCACTTACTTTGTGAGACCATTGGGACTAGCATAAAAAAAATGGACCTGGACCAAACTTGACACACTTAACTCCCATGAACCCCCTCACACCCTGGTGAAGTTTGGGAGAGAATGGACCACCGACGATGGGATTTGTAGTTCCTTTACCAAACTCACTTCCCACAGAACACTGTGGCCCCCACAAATCACAGACCAGGACCAAACTTGGCACACAGACCCCTCATGTCCCACTTTACGTCCTGATGCAGTTTGGGTGAGGATGGATCATGGATTATGGGACTTGCAGTACCTTCACCGACTTCCTGAGACCACTGCGACTCATCCAATTACCGATAAAGACCAAACTTGGCAC